AAGTCCATTTGCATCGGTCTCTGTGTTTTGTTTCGATGAATAAAATATACGAATTGTATGGGAAACAAAACGTTTTTTCTGAAGTGTAACAGGAAATTTAGATGACTTGTTATTCAAGTCCTACTTCGAAACATATTTTCAATTCGATAGACGCAGTTCAAACTTGTTTCATTCATGATTGAGATAAACTAACCTACAAGAAAACCAGCTTCTTATCTTCTCTTCACATTGTATTTGCTCAAATCATAATTCTATCACTGATAAGTGGTCGAATCCGAAAACGGGAAAAAATCTACAACTGTTCAACATCTAATGACATCAACTATCAATAATGTATGGTTTCTAAGATTCAAATTGAAATGAGATAATCATTTCAATTCAATTCAATAATCGGAAGAGTTGTTGCAGAAAAACGAACAATATATTTGCTATTCCAAAATATAGGTCGCCTAAACTGAATCACCCTCTATACATCTGTTGCTCTATGTAGTTTGAGCAAGTCTACGTTTGACCCTCGTTTGCAGAACTTGTCATCCGACTTTCCGGTCTTCCTTTGTTTGTTTTGAATTTGCATCGAAGTAGGAAGTATTTATTTTGTTTTCCTTCGTGAAAACATTCCGAAAACAACATCAAAGGAGTTGAATCGAGACTGATGAATATAAGAACCTTAAATTTTGTCACGAGTCACGAAATCCATATCAGGCTCATGTTCCTACAAGGTTTCCAACTGCATACCAAAAGTGTCAAAAGTATTGGAATTCTTTCTGAACCATCAAAAAAAACGTGAACTTTTGTTATTGAATATTCTTCTAAAAAAATTATCATATGATGTAGGTACTCTAGATTTTGTTTTTCCAGAGTCCATCGATGAAGATTTGACAACGTCCAAGAACGTTATCAAGAAGTTACAAGAAAAACAACTGCAAGCACCACCGAAATTGAACAGAACCGATGAGAAAAACGCCACCAATGCACACTTAACACAACGAAACGACAGTATCGTAAACACGGGAAAAACTGATAAGTCAGATAAACCGATAACAGTTGACTCCACTTGGCCTACTTTCGACGTGGAAAACAGTGAGGGAGTTGTAAATAAAATTATCACCAGAGAAGATGATGTGAAAAATTCCAAGCTGGGTTTATCGCATAAGCCGAACAAATCTACATATCCGAAAAATTTTGCATATCACAGGGTGACAGGTAAGACTGGTAAGGTGGTTTACGATCGAAAAGTGTTCAATCTGCTTGAAGTTTGACAAACAAGTTAACCGCTAGGCTAGACGATGTTTGTGTCATTCGCTTAAGAACTCTCTCCTATATCATCTACTGATATCACCAGAGAGGTATTTTTCTCCACCTAAGCACATCGATCTGAATGAATATTACAAGGGCTATATCGTGGCAACGAAATGCATCAGTAATGGATCTCATTTGAATAATCGATTTTGTTATTTGCTTTAGAACTCCCTAGGCTTGTCTACTGATATCAGAGTAAATATTTCTTTTCCAGGCATAATCATCGACCTGAATGAATCTCTCATGGGCCACATCTACGTAATTATGAAACGCTATCACTAATGGCTTCCATGTTATTTGCTTCAGGAAATTCCTAGTTATCTACTGATATCACGAGTAAGAATTTATTTTCCAGGCAGACTCATAAATATTGAGGAATTCTCCGCAGTCCACAGTTCCCATGATGCGTCATCACTAACGACTTGAATTTCAATAATAATATAATAATAATATTTTTTTAATTATTTTGCATCAAGTATGTACAGTAGATTAACAGTTTCACAAATATTATACGTAATAGTCTGACACAAATGAACAAAAAAGAGAAACCACAAAGCTTTCGCTGTCCGTGGTGAACTCACATTCATCTATGAGTGAAAGATCATAATATAATACATAGTGAACAGTAAATCGAGTACAAAAATAGTATATAATCAATAGAATGAAATATGATATAATATAGGTAATAGAAAATGATAATGAATATAATTCAGAATATAAATGGTACACAGTTACATCAACAATAATAATAATTATTATAAAAAGTACACGAACATATATATGATTAGGCATAAAACGACTAGAAATTGCATTTTTTGTCGATGGATTTAGGGTCAATTGAAAAATGCATGTATAAGTGTCCTCTTATTGCTCAGTAAGAATGACTTTACTTTGTTTCTATAATAGGGTTCAGAATTACAGTTGTGCAATGAAGAAGTTTCTGAGATGAAATTCAAGAATCGTGGTCCTAGAAACGCCAAGCATTTGGTACCGACTGTTTTATTTGTTGAAGGGGTTTGTACTTTATTAGCATATTTAGATAGATAGTGTCAATATCCTCCTCATTTCTGAAAAAGAAACATACAGCTTTAAGGAAAAAAGTTTGGCAAATATCTAGTATCCCCGCTTCTTTGTATATAAGTTATCTGAAGGGTATAATTTCTATCTTCTCGAAATATAATCTTGAGGAAGTATTTCTGTAATACATTCAAGTTTTCTAGATATATATTCGCGATACTTCCCCATCCTATAATTCCATATGTTATACGAGAATCTACAAGAGCGAAGTAGAGCATTTTGAGGTGGTGTAAGGTCAGAATTTCAATTAGGTATTTGAAACGGCCCAAGAAAGTTCTTAATGTATTCACAATGTTGTTGACTTGGTGATCCCAACGAAGATGACATTCGATAATTATCCCTAGATATTTAATTTTTTTGGTGAGTTTAATTTCGAAAGTTTCATTATGGATATTCATCTTTAGTGAGTTATAATAATAAGTGCCGACTGTAAAACAATTCCTACGGTGATATCAGTAGATGAGCAGAGATGATTCTGATACTCGTTACAGAACTCCTCTTGCTCATCTACTGATGTCACGAGTGATCATTTTTTCTCCAGGTAAACCCATCGACCTGGACATATCACCCAAGGCCTACATCGCCGTGTCCGTGATAGCACCCAAGCCATCCAACCCCCAATCCAAGGAAGATGCGATGGCTTTGGAGGACGAGCTCCACCAGCTGAAGCCGTGGACGCATCGCGACCACCTGCAGAAGATGGCGTCCATCAGGTCGCGGTGGGTCATCGGGGAAAAGGGTGGCAAAAAGTCGTAAAGGGGTAGCAGGTGGCGAGCGGGAAGTTATTTAGTGTTTACCAGTGTGCCCGAAGTATTGTAGGTGTTCGTTGGTACGGTACTGTTCCATACAAAAAAAATGACACACAGTAGAAAATGTAGGCCGTTTGACGTATACACGACTTTGTTGTTTGAATATTCAGCACTGAATTGTATACAATTTATATCGACCAAATAAGTTGAATTTCTAAATGTGTGTTCTTTCGTTAGATAACCTGGGTGGAATGTGATCTGGGAAGACCAATTACATATTCAGTGTTTTTGTTGGATTGAAATAATAATAATTCTCACCTCATTACGTCACCAATTGATCAACACTAACACGAACTCGTGTATATCAAAATAGACACCACGTGGAGTCGTTTTCGACTGTAGTTGGTTATTTTATTGGATCCAAAAGATTATAATCATTTCATTCGGGTGAAGAAATGAGAATTTTGTTTCCAGACAAAGATGCAAAGGCAAAGTAATAGGATTCATGGTCTATGAAAAAATTTACATCTGATTGTAAATACATTTTTCGTCAATTTGTGATCCATACGTATGCACAGTACCGTATCATATTGTACATCATTCTGAATTATCTTTTTCTAGATATTATATCCATGGTGAACTGTATAATGAATAATAATACTCTTCATTAGTTTCACCACGTATTTTTAGGGGAACATGATCTCGATGTAATATAAATTATCATTCAAAGTGGATATCCAGGTGGATACGAAGACATTTATGATTTTGTTCAGTATCAATTTTCACTGTTTTCAGTTCTTGATGATTTACATTGAATATTTCCCAATTCTTTCGATGATTAATCATCATTGGAATAACATTTCAGTTGTTCGGTTCACCCTGTAAGTTTGGACTTACTTTAGAGCAATTATTGTATAAAATCTTTGGAATAATGTGTAATTACGATTTTTTGTTAGATATGTCTATAAAAACATCAATCTATGATGAATATGTTTTTGTAGTTGGAGCATAATTAAGAATAAAAATCTCTTTAGTACATCGACCTGAATTAATGAATAATTCTCAGAAGATAATCTTCAATACTTGGGATTCTGGGTACCTTATCAATAATCATGTATTTCGGTAAATGAATGTTCTGTTCTCGTGTTTCAAAATATAACTGAACTGTTTGGATGAATCAACACTTTGTATGATATTTCATAGCAGCAATATTTTGTCATGTATATTGATGACAGAATAACAAAATTCGAAACCACCACCACGATTAGGTTGGCAGGAAATTTCACAGTTTTTTATTATTTTTCGGAAATATAGTGCATTCAGTTGAATATCAACGCGTAAACTACATAGCATTGAATATTCATCACTTCTAGGAATAGATTATTCCACATTTTTTCACTTTATCATTAAGGCTCACACACTTTATATATTATTTATGAGTAATATAGTTATATTTTCATGGTTATTAACTGCTGGAACTAATATTTACCTTGCTAGTTCTCGTATATGATTTCGAAACCAAGCTTATATGTTTCATACGTTCACGGTTTACTTAAATAATAGCTACCTACTTCCAACTATTCAAATACTAGAATAATCATATAGAAGGAAATAAAAAACGATTCCAAGTAGATCATTCAGAAATGTTTCAGCTCTATATCATATTATATGTATAAAAGAAACAGTGTATTGGTCAGAAGCTAGATATTCATTTCTTATCAAACACTACCTCCAATTCAGGTGATATCTACTGAAAATATACATCAACCAATCATAATTTCAATCTTTCCCTGGAGTAGCTAACAAACAAATATCGTTATAATCAGTTCTTAAACAGTGTAGCTCAAATTATCGATCCCTCTGAAACATCAAAAAATGAACCGACCCAAAGCCTCCGACTTCGTCCAATACAAGAACGCGTTTCTATTCGCTCCCCGACAAATCGACTACAGGGTGTTGAAGGGCCTCTTCAAGAGCGGCACCTACTACGCAGCCAGCCCCATAGGCCTCAATAAAAACGGACTGGTATTTTCGATGCGAAAAATCCTAGCCGTGTGCGTACTTAGCGCTTACGTGATGGGAAGTCTGCTCACGATGGATTTCGTGCCGCACCCTGTAAATATGACGTCGGACTTGTACAAGACTTGCGCCCTGTCGTTCGTCATCAGCTGCATATGGACCTCGAATTTCGTGTACACAAAAAATTGGGAGATGTTTTACCGATATTTGGATAAGATGGAACAAGTTATGGACGCATTGAAATTTGAGGCAGAGGTAAATTTTAAGGAGAACGTCGTTCTTCGTTTACTTTCATCTGGAAATGCCTCCAGAAGTACATAGTTTTCTTTGTTGGTGAGGCATGTTTTTACAAGATGTAGCGGAAGTCATCAAAATTGACAAAATCGACAAAAATTGCCCATGTAAAAAATTCACCGATAGAATTGACCATTTTGGGTGGTACAGGGTTTCCAACATGTCTTTCTCTTCGTTTTTCCAAACACCCTGTGTCACGACACCGTTGCACCAAGTTTATGATCATTCGCGGTGTTGGATGATTTCTTAAAGAAAATCTTACCGAATGCAAACGAAACGCTGCTGCTGCACTTTCGCGACACTAACCATAAATCGAAAGCATTAAACAAGTTCATTATATAATTATTTTTGTTATTGAGAAAAAGGATCCGATGACTAGCGCTACAAAAATAAATGAAATGATTGTAAATTACAGTGAATTCTACATACTCATGCTTGAGAACAACCTTATATTGTAGAAGATCCTATACCATTCTTGAATATACCCCAATATTCACACCTGCAATTCCGTGGTGGTATCTTGAGGCTTGTATTGTATCATTGAGAATCAACACAGGCATTTTCTGCTCCATTGAAGCTTAGTGGTGATACCACGTATCATCAAATTTGGAGAAATCGCGATTTTCACGGATTTTTTTTTTCGTTATCATAGTTGGCAACATTGTGCGAAAACACGTGTTGCTCGGACCAGTAGAAATAATTAATTTCACTGTCATAAGTAGCATAGTAATACCACGTATCATCCAGAGGAGTAATACCACGTATCAACCGGTTCCGTGGTCGAGAGCGTGAATGCGCTGAGTTCGTATGGGGACTCCCACCGAGACATAGGTTCGAATCCTAGTTAGGCCATGGATGTTTGTGTTTGTATTCCTACATAACCCCGCACAAGTTTCGACTTATGAGGCGTTTGGTCTCAGTGCTGGGACCAACGAGGTAATGTAATTGCAAAAAAAAACAAAGAAGTAATACCACTTATGAACCAAAAAAGTAGTCTTGATACAATATATTGTATGGTTAGTTTTTGATCTAGATGGGTGAAGCATATACGGGTGTCCCGAAATTACATAAAAAAATTTGAACCACAGATTCTAGGAACAATAATAGTATAAAAAGTTCATATAAACATGGGCCCAGAATAGTCTTAACTAGGTAGACTATAGTGCTATCTTGATCAGAATTAATATGTCAGTGGTGATTTCCATGTGTACTTTTCTACAGCAGGACCAGATCGAGTGATACTAATACATAGTGCATTTTTCTTTTCAAACAGAAGAGTAAACATTTGAATTTCCTCAAAATAGTTTTCTGGCATACCTATTGAGTGTAAAAAGTGTAATACGAGGCTGAGAAGCAGTGCTTTCTTTCTTCAAACGTTTTTGTTGGTTTGAATCAAATATATTATTATATCAACCTGCAAAATTACGAACACCCAAACCTGTATCATTTTTTATAGGTGACGTATACGAAGCAACTTCTAGGAGTCTTTCTGAGCTGGTTATCCTACGCGGCATTGCATTCATACAGAATCTGGAACTGGATAGAGCTCAACCTCATGAACAATTTCTCGTACTCCTGCGGCCATTTGGTCACAGTTTTCTTCATAACGACGATCTTCACCTACATATTTTTCACCGTGAAATACTTGCACAGGAGGTACAGTTTCATAAACAAAAAAATTGAAAATTTGGCCGATAACCATGAAAATTTCGATATGATAGTGAAATTTTTGAAAACCGGCGACCGGATTAGTGAACAGATGAACATCATTTTCGGATGGCAATTTTTTCTGTTCGTCAGCTTTAATGTGGCTTACATTTTCTGCGTGGTCACTTACTCGCTGTTTTCTCACGTGAGGCCAGACAGGTGGATGTCCAGCGGCGTACTGGCAGTTTTTTCGACGGTAAGTTGAACCATTTCATCAACCAACCATTACATACTCGGTTTTCAACGATTTATGACAGTCATTGCTGATGTGAATTCAGTGATAAAGACAGTACGATAGACTTACCTTATTGGAGTGAATGATTTTTCTGAAAATTCGCGAGACAAGTCAACGTTTGAATGTATTTACCTACATTTGGCGAGCAATATGGAAAATATAACCCTTCAGGGGTAGCAAGAATCTACCCCAACATGTTTTTTCAAATACAACCCTATGGCTTGCGACCATCATTGGAGAGCTGGTTGAAAGAGGAATCCAGCGTACTGCACGTTTGGGGGTCGTAACAAATCAAAATATAATTTCGAAGTTTAATATATTCTCAATGTATTTTCATCAAAATTTCGACTTTTAGTGACAGTGATATAGGCATTTCCACCAGTTTGCAATAACACTTCGTGTCGAACTGTGAATACAGCAAAAAAACTAAATTTATTTTTGCGGCTCTATAAGAAAACTGGAATACAATAGCAGATAGCTGTTATAGCAAGAAAATGCTATCTGTTGTTCAACACACATTTTGAGCGATTGATAAATTGGAAAAAATGAATCTTAAAATTACATCTCAATGTTATGCAACCTTTAAACGTATGGAAAACTGGAATTTGATTAGTATGCTGGATTCCTCGTTTCACTGGCTTTCTAATGAAGGGTCACATGCCATAGGGTTACGTTTGAAAAATTCATGTTGAGAGTGGTTCCAGCTACCCCTGGAGGGATATATTCACGATATTGCTTGCATAAAGTAGGTAAATACATTAAATCGTTGACGTATGACGGAAATTTCGAGAAAAAATATTCACCTCTTCGCTAACGAATTTATTCCAGTTAAAGTCTCCACACTGTATAGTTCCAATCGCCTTTGTACACACACACAGACACGCAGTATAGGTCGTTACGATGGAGTTTGGTTTTCCCCACACATACGTATATATGCAATTTGAATCTAAAACAGACCAATCAGAACTATCGAAAATGTAGGTATTGGTAATTGCATAGTAGCGCCCATTAATAAATAATATTATTATTAGTTATACAAGATGTACTAGAATAACGTACCATCAGTTCTACAGGGTAAACTAGAGACTAATAATAGGCCGATTGAAATTAAGCCCGTTGGGCCGTGAAAGAACGATAAATAACAATTGAATCTCCTTTTTTCATACAAACTGGTTCCATGTTTTGGTGGCCTAATAAGTTTCGAAGATCGAGTAGGATAATCGTGATACTCAGAATTGAGAGAAAAGTGTTCATAATTACTTTCAGCATAGAGAATGCATTTGTATATGAATATAGAATATGAAACGTTAGAATTTCATGTTCCTTAAAATGGTTACTTTACTGTCTAGGTTGAAATTCAGACGTATAACTCTTTTTAGAGACATAAAAACTCTGGATGCACCTCTTGCACTATCCCAGAAAATGATATTGTAGGAAATATGCGAGAAGACAATAGCGTAGTAGACACTTATCCACTGACTCGTTGAAAAAATATTTTTCAATTGCATTATAGCAAAATATAACCACTATTTAATTGTTTGCGAATGTAATCAATATCAGTATTTCAACTCATGTAGTTGTCGAAAAAAACACCTAAAAATTTTGAACATTGACTATCAGAGAATTCCTTTCACACCACGTGGTGAATTCTGTAGACAAAATATTCATTTTCCATATAAGCTCATCCGGAATTTATAGTACGTTGTTCTGGGACACCTTGTATATGACGTATATACTCATGGTCCTAAATGGATGACCTGCGATAATATAGTTAATTTCACTTGAGGACACAGGGGAGTAGCTATATTGGCAAAAAATTGTGTTTCAGATAATAACGATAATCATCGTCATGTCGTGCAACAAGGTGGAACGATGCGGCCTGCAGATCGTCCAGACTTGCTACACCGCGGTCAATTCGACAAAGGACGCCCGAACTAAGGAGAAACTCGTCTTGTTGGCGCAGTACGCCGAGGAATGGCGGCCAATCTTCTCTGCCGCCGGATTCTACGACATCAATCAGCTCTGCCTGAATGCTCTTTTCGCGTGCTCCATAGATTACCTAGTCATAGTGGTGCAGTTCAATATGATGCTGTCCTCTTCGCTGCCGCAATACAAGAGGTTCTAGATTGGGTTCGGTACATCTGAATATATGATAAAAGTGACGGGTCTGGAAGAAGTGGAAGGAGAAGATCCCATTCTGCAAACCCAACCTCAAAGGCATACTATATAAAATGCCTTTGAGAACTACTTCGCTTCGTTTGAGATCATATATCACTTGCAAAATCATTCACTCTCTACTCATCAACGATCCAATCATCAAGGCATTGAATCTGCAACCAGTTAATGAACAACTCAATAAATTTACGATACGACAACAAGTACCCATCTCATCAACGTATTGTCACCCATCAATAACGATTATTTTCTATTGAATTAATCATCAATGCACTAAATTTTCAATTTATCAATGTACCCCTTTTATCAAAAATCATTTCTTCAGGAATCCAACTAATGAAAGACCCAGCTCATCAACAAACCAATGTCATCAAAACCCATTTGGTCTTGATGCGTTGGAGTTTTTTTTTATGTTCTGGTTCCCACGAAAAGGGATATCCTGTATTGTTCAGAGAACATCGTGAGAGCGAAGGCAAATAAGGTAGGAATTGGTGTTCTTCTTAAATTTCTGGAGGTTATATGCCTCCCTCCCTTGGCGATGTGTTCCAGAGTTTTGCTGTTCGTTGGATGAACGAGTCTTTGGAAAGAGATGTTCTGCAGGTCTCCAAAGTGACCACAAAGGGGTGCGAAGCCTCAACTCGACGGATTAATCTCGCGGGGACTGCCAAGGCAGGAATAATTGTTGATATTTCAGAAAAGCATCGTCTATGAAAATATCTATAAAATAGAGCCAGATAGCCAACTTTTCTACGGTGTCCCAGAGAAGTGAGTGAGTTTGTGAGCGAGGCATCACCCACGAGACGAATTGCCCTTTTTTGGACAGAATACAACAGTTTCAGGGTATGTTTGGGTGCTACACTCCAAATATGGAAACAGTATTCCAGGATTTCCAGGACAGGTCGGATCTGTGCCTTATCGATCATAAGCAGCTGACTGGAAGTGAAATAGCTCCTGGCCCGAAACAGAAAACCAAGTTTTTGGGATGCACTTTCAGCAATTGATCCGAGAATTGATCTCACCTGATTTTCCCATGAAAGGTTATTGCTGATAGTAATACCATGCATCGAGATGGATGTCTTCAAAGGTATGGTTACTCCTGACAAGCTTATGTTGGGCACAGTGAGATCGGCTTTTCTAGAGAAAAGGCATATGCTTGTGTTTTGTTTGCATCGAAATCTACCAAGTTATTGGATTCACACTCGAGAATTGTTGCCGAGTCCATATTTATGTTGTCAACATTTTGTCATGTATTATGCTGGCTTGGCAACGCCGCATTTGAATTAATATAAATATGTGACAACAATGTACTACTCTTGCTCTACACTAGTGTGACCTGGAGAATGACAAATGACTGTTATCTGTTTAAAACAATGTAATCATGACCTCAGAGACTCTAGACTCTAGTATGCAGGTGCATCGTTGTGATCATGTTTATGAATAACTTGTATAATCTTTTTTGTATGCAAAGCTGACAATAAATACATTTCATCTCTTCGATAAGTGAGCCTGAATAATCTACGAAGAAGAGCCATTCAAGCTACATCCAAAACATTATATGGTGGCAGCTGGTAAAAAAATGCGTTGAGAGGTTATGTTGGAAGTTGTTTAGCGGCAAAAAAGGGAACAAGTTGGAAAAAAAAAAAAAAGACTACACATTGACAAAAATTGCGAAGTCTTTCTATTGTGATAACTTCGTGTATTAAGCTGATTAGTAAGCTTGTATGCAGTCAATCGGGTTTTTTTTTTTCACCTAAACTCAAGCAAGTTCATTGGCGTTCATTGGTTACTGGTAGTATAGTGTACCAATAAATGATGGGAGATCACAGCAAAATTCCGGAAGAAATGAATTTCAAAGGGAATGTAGCCAATAATTGGAAACTTTGGAAGCAAAAGTTTGGGCTCTATTTGTTGGCTAGTGGGAAATCAAATAAACCGGAAGAAGTTAAAATAGCAGTCCTACTCAATTTATTGGGTGATGAAGGATTACAAATTTTCAACACATTCGAGTATGAAGCTGAAGGGGATGACAAGAAACTGGACGTTGTTCTTGGAAAATTTGATGCATACTGTAACCCAATTAGGAATCTGGTGTATGAACATTTCATATTTTTCAAGCGAGATCAGCTTCCAGGGGAAACAGTTGATCAGTTTATCACTGCCCTGAGACAGTTATCATCCACCTGTGAATTCAAAGAGAAAGACACACTCATTCGTGACAGAATCGTTTTGGGTATTCGTGATTCAAGAATACAAGAAAAGCTACTGCAAGATTGTGACTTGGAATTGGAAAAAGCAATCCAAATCTGTAGATCAATGGAGAGCAGTGTTGCTAAACAGAAAGAAATCAGCCGAGAGACCCGTGATATATCAACTGTGAGTGCTATCAGCAGTGGAAATAAGAATAGACTTTCGAAGTTTAGAAATTTGTCTGTGGGTGGCAGAGAAACTTCATGGCAGAGTGCTGGTGGTTCAATTCCAGGACATGGAGGTAGCAGAAAGCCAAGTAACTATACTGATTGTACAAAATGTGGAGTTAATCACCAAATTGGTAAGTGTCCTGCTGTTAACCGTATATGTGGACGATGTAAAATTAAAGGGCATTACCGAAAATTTTGTAGAAGCCACAATGTGCATGAAGTTGATGATGAACAGTTTAGTGATTATGATGATGAACTGAGTGATGCTGAACATTCTCATGGACATTCAATTGATTCGGACAATATTGTGTGGACTATTACAAACTCAGATGTAAATTCAATTGAATGGTTTGAACAGATAAAAATACTTGGTCAAAAAATCAAATTGAAAATTGACACAGGAAGTCAAGTAAGCATTTTAAATTTCAAAGACTTTAAAAAACTGAATATTGATCAGAGTGAATTGTTGACAAGTAGCTCAACTTTATCTTCATACTCAGGACATAAAATTGATATAATTGGTCAGATCACTCTGGAGTGCTCATTCAAAACTGCAAGAAAATGTTTGTTGTTTTATGTACTTCGTGAAGAATTTCCAAATTCAATTTTAGGACTCAGTGCAGCTAATAACTTGAAAATTGTGAATACTCAGTGCCCTGTTGATTCAGTTCGTGCAGAATCAATAGACTCTTTCACTGACATTGTTGAAAACTATAAACATGTGTTTCAAGGTATTGGTAGAATTTCAAAGACTTATAAAATCACACTAGAAGAGAATGCTGTTCCATGTGTTCGCTCAGCTAGGAAAATACCTATTGCTCTAAAAAGCAAAGTAAAACAAAAATTAGATGAAATGGTTGCTGATAAAATTATTGTTCCAGTTACAGAGCCAACAGACTGGGTACATCCAATTGTCATTGCACCCAAGCCTAATGGAGATATTCGTGTGTGCATGGACCCCAGGGCTCTAAACAAATATATTAAACGAGAAATATTCACCATTCCAACACAAGATAGCTTGTTCTCAGAACTATCTGGTTCCCAATATTTTTCTTTGCTAGATGCTTCACAAGCATTTCTCCAAATTCCGCTAGACCATGAGAGTTCTTTATTATGTACAATAGCAACTCCCTTTGGGCGATATCGTTATTTGAGGTTACCTTATGGATTGTCATCTTCACCTGAGATTTTCCAGAGGTTCATCCATGAAACATTGTTTGGTTTGCCTGGAGTTGTAGCATACTTCGACGACATCTTAGTATTTGGTCAAACTCTTGATGAACACAACAAAAACCTCAAAAATGTCTTAGAACAAATTTCAAAGTCAAAACTAACCCTAAATTTGAAAAAATCTAAATTTGGTGTCACAGAATTGAAGTTCTTAGGCCATTATATTACTCAGGAAGGCATTAGTCCTGATAAACACAAAACTGAAGCTATCAGACATATGAATTCACCGAAAAATAAAAAAGACCTGCAACGATTTCTAGGTATGATTGTTTATTTAGCCAAGTTCATACCAAATTTATCGGATGAAACCAACATTCTTCGTAAGCTTTTGAGTAATTCAGCAGAGTGGCAATGGACAGAAAATGAAGAAAGAAGTTTCAACCGGCTAAAATCTCTTGTGACGTCCACCCCAGTTCTTTCATTTTTTCACCCTAAGAAAGAAATCACATTATCTGTTGATGCAAGTCCATTTGGACTTGGAGCCGTCATCACACAATTGGGACATCCAATAGAGTTTGCATCTGTCTCATTGACGCCGACACAGCAACGATATAACCATATAGAAAAAGAACTTCTAGCTGTGGTGTATGGTTGTGAACGTTTTCATTACTATACATTTGGCAATAAAATTACAATTCATACAGATCATCGTCCTCTATTGGGTTTGCTAAAAAAATCTTTGGATGAACTATCTCCAAGAATACAACGCTTAGCATTCAGACTATTGCGATATCAATTTGAACTTCTATATGTTCCAGGAAAAAATATGCAAGTTCCTGATGCACTTAGTCGAGAACCAATAAAAAATACGATAAATACAGACTACTTGGAAAATAATCTCAGAGTTTACTCTGTGATATCAACATCAGAGGAAAATGAAAAACGTCTCAAATCAGCTATTGATTGTGACCTTCATTTACAGAAAATAAAATACTATGTACAACATGGTTGGCCTTCCCATAAAAGTAATGTACCAAGTTATATAAAACATTTTTGGTCCATCAGAAATGACATATTCTTGCACAGAGATGTATTATTTTTCCAGAAACGAATCATAGTACCTGATTCTCTAAAAGAAGAATTCCTGGAATTAATACATGGAAGCCATCAAGGTATTGTTTCATGTAAAAAATTGGCCCAAGAATCCATATATTGGCCTGGTATCACCGCCGACATAGAAAGAACAGTTCTAAATTGCTTGACGTGCCAGAAATATGCTAAATCCAACCAAAAGGAACCACTACAGCCTCATAATATTCCTGAACTTCCCTGGCAGAAAATAGGAATAGATTTTAAAATGTTGGGTGCTTTGAACTTCATTGTTTTAGTTGACTACTATAGTAAGTTCATTATAGTTAACAAAATACCCAACAAAACAACAGAAACTGTCATTTCAACACTGAAAAATATATTTTCTATTAATGGCCTTCCCCAGGAGATATTTTCCGACAATGGACCTCCTTTTAATGCTTATGATTTTCAACAGTTTGGCAAGAGATATGACATCAAATTAACAACGTCTAGTCCACACTATCCTAAGTCAAATGGAATGGTGGAGAGGGCCATACAAACAATCAAAGGCCTACTAGTAAAAGCCTACCAAGACGGCGAAGATCCATTTTTATCAGTCTTGAACTACAATATTACTCCCAAGGAAAATTTACCTGCCCCATGTCAACTGTTAATGGGACGAAGACTTAGAACAACCCTCCCAGTTGCTAAGTGTTTATTAAAACCAAAGTATCCTACCAGAGATATAACAGGTAAATTGAAATTAAGACAAGATCACCAACGGCAATATCATGATATATCGACAAAGAAACTATCGGAACTAAAACCGGACCAACCCATACTCATGAAAGAAGGCATGAGAACCTGGACACCAGGGACAATAGTTAGAACTTCTGGACCTAATGATTACCTGGTGAAAGTAAATGATGCAGAATATAGAAGAAATCGTCAGCATCTTCGCCCATTGAGAATACCATCTTCTCCAGAGATTTCTCGACAACAGCATGTTGAGCCAGATGACAACGTAGATCCGGAGTCAGGAACAATAATTGTGAATAAGTCAACCCATTCAGAAAATTCTGACAATGATAATTCTCAAGCCTTATCTAATTATTCACAACTTGCAGAATCTATTCCTAATGGCTCTACTGTAACTCGTAGTGGTCGTGTAGTAAAACCAATCACTAGGATGAATTTGTGAAAATCAAAAATTTTGAAGTTTTGTAAATTTTATTCTTCTCAAAAAGGGGCGTGTCATGTATTATGCTGGCTTGGCAACGCCGCATTTGAATTAATATAAATATGTGACAACAATGTACTACTCTTGCTCTACACTAGTGTGACCTGGAGAATGACAAATGACTGTTATCTGTTTAAAACAATGTAATCATGACCTCAGAGACTCTAGACTCTAGTATGCAGGTGCATCGTTGTGATCATGTTTATGAATAACTTGTATAATCTTTTTTGTATGCAAAGCTGACAATAAATACATTTCATCTCTTCGATAAGTGAGCCTGAATAATCTACGAAGAAGAGCCATTCAAGCTACATCCAAAACATTATACATTTCTCCCTCGTTTGTTTCTGATTTGCCTGGCTGGTATTGAAGCCCTGGAAGAGAAAGCGGTATGGAAGCATTGATGAGTTGAGTTGTTTATGGATTGAGTGTTGATGAAATGGGTTCATTGATGAGTTGGTGCATTGTCTGTAGCGAGTTGTTGAAAATCTTGAATAATATTGACACACAATATATTGTCCAAGTGTGCAATAATCAACAACAGACATTACCAACATAAAAAAATTTCATCAACACCTTACTCATCAATATAGTTGGTTGTGTAAGGTCAGTGATCAGTTGGGTTGATCAATGAGTTGGTTGTTGATGATATGGATGAAATAATCGGAGATAATGGATTGTCTGTATATGAGTTGTTACCACTCCGGTATTTCTATTGTTTCCACTTCACAATAGAACTCCAACGGTTGAAACAATTAATAACAATAATCAACAACACAAATCATCAACATACCAATGTCATCAATAACCAACATCGAAGAACCGAATTATTGATAAAATAGGTGCATTGATGAGTTGATGTTAGTTTGACTTTTCTGTTTACGTAACCTATTCACTTTATTCTCTGTTTGTTGAAATATGGATATAAATCATCATTGTCAGAAAATAATGAATTATTAAATTCAGCACAATATTTAACTATAGCGTGTGATAACCCAGTCAAGTGTTTCATTGATTTTTATACCTCATAATATAATGAATATCATTATTTCTGCAATGACCTTGACACTTGCAATGGAAAAATTATCGGAAAACCCATAATTTGGAGACAATATGTCAACAAGGTTGAAAAAGATAATATTTGAACTGCAATCAGTTTTGAATTTGAAACAAGTCGATAAAACCACATAACAGTTCAAACTCAACGATGGCAGCACAGAAGAACGCCCCTCTTCATAGAGACCCAAACATTCCAAGAAGGCAAAAAGATGCCGATTTCAGATTTCTCGAAATTTTATTAGAATGCAGCAAGTACTACGGAGCCATACCAGTACAAGTACAAAAAAACGGGTACTTACCAAAACTTCACCGATGGATAGTACTGACCCTCCTGCTATTCTTTGTCGCCCAAACGTGTATATCTTTGCCAACCCCCGACAGCATTCTAACCCTGCTTCAAATCATCTGGCAAGTGATAGATATTTGCTTCCTCTACAGCTCCGTCTACCAAGCAAATTTTTCCACGTCAGAAAATTGGAGTTTACTCCTGAGGTACCTGAGCGCCTCAGAGGAGTTGCTCGGAAAACTCGGATTCCACTCGCAAAATCAGCAACTGAAGATTTCGATGCAGATTTTCTCGATTTGGACTTGCTCTTTCCTGCTCATCGCTTGGAACGTGTTTTTCTTGATTCGGGAGCCGACTGGCAACTTTGCTAGCTACAGCTGGCTCATCGTCAACATTTACGTCACAACTTTTATCACTATTATTTTTCTGTTGACGAAAATCCTGCAGCGGAGATACAGGCATATCCACACCAAAATAGGGAGGCAGTTGAGGAAAAATCATCTTGAGGCTTTCGAATTGGATTTCGAGAATACCGTGAAGCTTTTGAGAACCATGCACGAGGTGGTGAAACAGATGAACAGTATTTTTGGCTGGCAGTTTTTCTTCTTTGTCAACATCATAATCATACGGGTGGTCTATTCGTGTTTTATAGCTGTGTTCTTTCTGAATCCGAGCAACCCTGGAAAACAAGTAGAAACAGTCCTTTATGTGGTGAGTCATGAGACAGGGAAGATATTCCATTTTCGAGCGGGTTATTAACATCATTTTTTCGATGAGCTCATTATCTAAAGTTGAGTAAAAATATAATGACGTGATATATTACATATTACACTTCCCCAAAAAATTAGGGCACCACCAAAAAGTATCCAAAAGTTTGAGATACATTTTCGTCAAAACTACTCGTCCGATTTGAAAGTTTTTTGTTTTGAATGACAGGTTATATCTCCATCTGAATATTGGCAAACTGTATATTGAGTGAGAGTTATACTTAGCTGTGTGCACGTATAGATATACAAATAATTGAACCAAATGTTGTATTTCGTGCAAAATAATTCATTGAAATTTATCGGAGCTGAGCGCTTGCGACTATACAGTCATCATCAGTGCTTACTCGTCAGGTTGACAAGAACATTATCCATAGAAATATCTTCGGTCCTGCTCATTGTTATAATTATTATGGGTAAATACGGTACAAACAGATTAAAATTCTTTTCCTTCTTCAATTTATATTTGAACTTATTTATATCACGAACTTTAAATTCGTCGGGGAATAAATTTGCTTGCCAAATCTGGAAGATTGGAATCATTCAATAGTTTATGAGTAAATAAGGTACCTAAGTGGAGCTGTCTTCTATTGTTCATATCAAGCCAGTTGCATCCCATAAGTTTATGTGAAATACGATCATATTTTCTGATACCATAGGCAGCTATTTTGGACTTTTTGTATTCTATCTCTAACAATAAAAATGAATACCTTTCCTCCCTTCCCTTGGTATATAAATAGCTATTATTCGATTATGTTTGCAAATAGCAATATGGTTGTAGAGAAGATATTGCTCTCATAGCAAGATTCGAAAAAGTGGAATTCTAATCATCGATTTTTGGCAATATGATCTGTCAATTTCAATGACATCAGGTCAGCTTTCTTGCTAGCTCGGCAACATCAATGTTGTGCTTGCTATCTTATAACAAGGTAGTGGATTCTTTGTTCTTGCACTACAAATTCTTCCAACTGTATGAAAATTCAGAAAAAAGTGGATTAAAAACATATGAGAGTTCAGTTGTGTCACTGACTACTCGAAAACAATTCCTCAAAGTGTCAATTCGTAGAAGAATTATTGAAAAACATAAAATGTTGATTACAAACATATAGGATAGGTTCACTACTGTGACCAACTACTTGAAAACCTTTTCTTGAAGTTCCGATTTGTAGAGGAAATATGAGACTACAATTTCGACATTTCAGAGAAATTTCAGTTGCCTGATGGATAGTTTATCAAGCTATTTTGCTATAATATTTAAAAAAAACACGATTATTTTCATCCGGCTTTTAGTTGTTCTGTTTTCTCATTTCGGGAACATGATTGATTACTTGCCAGTCGCACAACGACGACCAGATTTTTTTTTTTATCGCTTGGAGCGCACGAAAGGGAATCCCTATAATGTTCAAAGAACATCGTGCGTTCCTAGGGAGGATAGGGACAGGAGGTAGGTATTGGAATTTTTTTTGAACTTTTGGAGATTATATGTTGTTGGGAATACTTCCACAGGCAATGAGTTCCAGAGCCTAGCCGTTCTATGGATGAAGGAGTCTTGATAAAGTGCTGTTCGACATCTTTCGAGGTTGACAACGAAAGGATGTGCTGACTGGGCTTGTCTAGTTCGTCTGATTGGTATTGCTAGTGAAGGGATGATAGCAGAGATTTCCGAAGAACATTTCCCGTGGAAGTATCGATAGAAAAGTGAATGGTCGCCGACCTTTCTACGGTGTTCCAATGATGTCAAAGAGTGAGTGAGTGTGGCGTCACCCACCAGGCGAATGGCTCTTCTCTGGATGGAATCTAAGAGCATCAGCGTATGTTTTGGTGCTGAACCCCATATGTCGGAACAGTATTCTAGAACAGGCCGTATCTGCGCTTTGTAGATCATGAGAAGCTGTTGAGGTGAAAAGTAGCTTTTCGCACGGAACAAGAATCCGAGTTTTTGTGAAGCAGCTTTTGCGATGGATCTGACATGATTATCCCATGAAAGAGTGTTGCTGATGGAAATACCGGGCATAGATATGGTGGGCTTGGTGGGGATGGTGGAGCCAGACATCACAATATCGGACATACTGAGTTCCGCCTTTCTAGAGAAAATGCAGGCTTGAGTTTTGGTGGCGTTGAATTCCACTAGGTTGTTCGTTCCCCAGGCTGTGATTTCAGCAAGATCTTCATTGACAGCATTGACCTGCCTGCGCCGTGAGTTCTTAGTTTCCTGGGAAGAAATGGGAATTCTGGAAGAGAACGCAGTATGGAGGGTACTATCATCTGCAAAGCTGTGGATGGGGCAAGTTGTTACTCCCAACAGATCATTGATATGATTCAGCAAATACAAAATCTCTCGATTTGAACTATATAATTTTGTAAAATGTCAGCGCAGGACTGACTAATTTGAGAGGTTAGGTAATCATGAAATAATGGCAAAATCGATACCAAACACTTGAACAATGAGTTGAAAACAGTGTTGTCAGCTCAAAAATTCTCAATTTTTCAACAATATTGCTATCACTTGAACTTATAACCAGTCTTGCAGTTACTCTGCAAACAGAATACAGGACTTCATAGCAATATTGTTATACAGTGTGTCCATTTAGTGCGTAATTCTTCGATATCTCGAAAGCCATAACCAATAGAGAAAAACTTTGGAGAAAAAACTTTTTCAGTTACTAAAGTTGCTCATTTCAAAATTATTTTCAACATCACTGGGTGTTTTATAAAAACAGGGCAACTCGAAGAAGAGTTTTTTTAAATGGAACACCCAGTATTGTTCATTCGGAATTAATTCCGTCGAGGTTCACCTTCACATCGCTGTAAAAAAAATTGAAATCGGTTGCGGCGTTGCCAAGTTATAATTGATAAATCTATTTTTACCATTATTGAAGAGTCATGTTGAATTGGGCATGGTATATTCATTTATTCAGATTTTCAAAATATTTTTGGCATACGGTAGGAGCAAGGTCCAACGTTTTTCAATCCAGTAATTTTGCGACATGTTCTTCAACAGGATGCTCAATTTTTCATTTAGAATTTTGCAAGATTCAGATGACATTCATCAGAATTTTTCAAATGGAACACCCTGTATTTTTATTCAAAAATTCATTTAGACATCTTTCGCTTTCTCATCGCTGGAAAACATATCGGAATCGGTTGCGGCGTTGTCAAGTTATGGTTGATTTTCTTGTTTTCACTACTATTTCGGGGTAATTTGTATTTGTATTGTGGAAATAATGCGTTGCTACGGTATAATCAAATTCGTTCATTGACCATTCATATATTTTTTTTACAGAAGGAACATTTACAGGCTCTCCAAGTTTGAATTTTTTTCGAAATATTTGTGTAATGACCTGTCAAACATCGCTACAATCAAATATATCTTGGATTGATTCGACATTTTGCTGAATTTCCTTTCAAAAGCTGCGTAGTAGAGACATATTGTTTGTATCATTATGTTAACCTTCTTCGAGGTAAATGGAGATTTGGATTGTGGGAATAACAACAATAAAAATGGCCCAAATTTCAAAAAAAATTACTAATTTTCGCAATACGCATCTTCATTGTTTGTATTGTAGAAGTTATTACAAAGACAGGCGTTGCTTTTGGCATGTTTGTTTCACATATTATTTGAATCATAAGTAGCAAGATTACGGAATATTTCAAATTTGGACGATGCACATAATATCACAAAAATACCTGAATGATCTATGTAGAACCTCGAATGTCATGTGGCAAGCAATATTCACACACTCAAATCAAATTGAAGAACCATCAGGACCGAGATCAGGACGAACAAATTACCCAGAAATAGTAGTAAAAATAAGGAAATTACTCATAACTTGAAAACGCCGCAACCGATTTCGATTTTTTCTTCTGCGATGAAAAGGCGAATGATGTCGAAATAAATCCGTGATGAAAAATACAGGGTGTTCCATTTGAAAATTTCTTATGATCGTCGTCTGAATCTTACAATATTCAGAATGTAAATATTAGCACCCTGTAGAGGATTATCCCGCAAGATTACTGGATTGGTATACGTGAGACCTTGCTTCTACTGTATGCCAAAAATATTTTCGAAATTTCAATAAATAAATATACCATACCCAATTGAACATGACCCTTCAATAGTAGTAAAAATGGGTTTTTCAATTATAACTTGGCAACGCCGCAACCAAATTCAATTTTTTTTACAGCGATGTAGAGCTGAACTTGAGCGGAATAAATTTCGAATGAACAATACTGGGTGTTCCATTTGAAAAAACTCGTCTTCGAGTTGCCCCGCTTTTATGAAACACCCAGTATCGTAGGAAATATTTTCGAAATGAGCAACTTTAGTAACTGAAAAAGTTCTTTCCCCAGAGTTTTTCTCTTGTGATAATTTATTTCGAGATATCGAAGAATTACGCACTAAATGGACACACTGTATGTTATGATCATAACAATATTATTATCTTAGCAATGTTATAACAAGATCCGAACAGAATCGACCCGAATGTGCTTATCAAAACGCATGTCAGTGTCTAGTACTAAACCAAAATTTCTTGCTGAATAATAGACTTGTCATGTGGTATTATCAATTTGTAGATTGAGACTATTCTTCATGTATCGTGTTCTAGATATCTTTGATACTTCTTGTGTTGCCATGCGACCTTCTGGAGGAGACAAGCAAAGACATCGTGAAGACCTGTTACGCCTCGCACCTGAGAATCGCCGATGAGAGAACTAGAGACCGCCTGATGGATTTGGGCCGATACGCGGTCGATTGGAAGCCGGCCCTGTCGGCAGCAGGATTTTTCGCTATCAGGAAGGAATGCTTGAATTCCGCCTTTGAAAATTTCGTTACATATCTGGTCGTCAGTATACAATTCAAAATGTCATTGGATAGTTCTGACACATGAAAAACGCTAAAAGAATATTTTTCGAGAGAATATATGTTTCATTGAAATTAGTGTGTTGTGAATAAATAGATATGCACCCCCATATACACCATTCGATTTTTTTTTATGATCTGGTTCCCACGAAAAGGGATATCCTGTAAATTTCAGAGAACATCGTGAGAGCCAAGGGAAATAAGGTAGGAATTGGCGTTCTTCTCAAATTTCTGGAGGTTATATGCCTCGGGGAACACCTCCCTTGGCAATGTGTTCCAGAGCCTCGCTGTTCGTTGGATGAACGAGTCTTTGGAAAGAGATGTTCTGCAGTGACCACAAAAAGAAGTGCGAAGCCACAACTCGACGGGTTAATCTCGCGGGGACTGCCAAGGGAGGAACAATTGTTGATATTTCAGAAGAGCATCGTCCATGAAACTATCTATAAAATAGAGCCAGATAGCCAACTTTTCTACGGTGTTGAGTGAGTTTGTGAGCGAGGCATCACCTACGAGACGAATTGCTTTTTTTTTGGACATAATCCAACAGTTTCAGGGTATGTTTGGGTGCTGCACTCCAAATATGGGTACAGTATTCCAGGACAGGTCGGATGTATGCCTTATAGATTATAAGCAGCTGACTGGAAGTGAAATAGCTCTGTGACATATTATGTACACCTACACTAGGTTACACTAACCATGCACTAGCACCGATATGTATTGTTCTGTGCCTGGTGCTCTGACTTCCGTGATCTGTGATAAAGATGATTAATAAACCAGTTATCATCCAGCAGTCTTTGAATTCAGACGTCCCGTCTCCAACACTCTCCCAAGTCCACACCACATGGCGCAGTCAGGTTAGAAACTAGACAAAAAATTCCGCCATCTTAAAATATTTTGGCGAATTTGTACTCCCAAGCAAATAGAAGACCCAATCGAAAGGAAAACGAGAAACTAAGATATCAAAATGGATTTTAGAGGCGTCCCACCCATGAAAATGAACGGTAATGTAGCAGAAAACTGGAAATTTTGGAAACAGCGATTTCAAACGTACCTGCTAGCGACAGAAATCTCGAAAAAAGAAGAAATTACCCAATGTGCTCAGCTATTAACGTTAATCGGCGACGAAGGTATGCGTATATTCAATACTTTCACTATGCTGCCAGATGAAAAGGATAAAATAAATCCATTACTTGCGAAGTTCGAGAGTCACTTCAGTCCCAGAAATAATTTAACTTACCAAAGACATAAATTTCTAACATGTAAACAGCAAGAAGGAGAATCCATTGAACAATATGTAACAGAATTGAAAAATTTAGCTAATTCTTGTGAACTGGGACTCTTACGAGACTCCTTAACAAGGGACATTCTTATATGTGGACTTAAGTCAGAAACACTTAGGGAGAAGCTACTTCAAGAAGATAATCAGCCTCTAGAGGAAGCAATTAGGCTATGCATCAATATGGAGAAAACAAGGGAACGAAATCGAGAAATTACCACCAATAATAGAGAGAATATACAAGTAGAGGAGATAACGAGGAACTTCAGACCCAAGTATAAGGATAAAAGGGGAATTCCAAGAAAATATGAGGCATCCAGAAGCAACTATCCAAGCAAATATACTACAAGTTACAGCAAGACCAATGAAAGAAGCTGCCGGAAGTGTGGAAACTGTCATGGTTATGGAAAATGCCCAGCCCATGGACGACAATGTTCCAAATGTGGAAACATGAATCACTTTTCTGGAATGTGTAAATTCAAAAATGGCAGTAACAATTCAAATTATAATAAAAATAAAGTAACTTTTAAAAATATTAATACTCTAGAGAATGAATATGAAGATAGTAATGATGACATGCAACCTTTTGTAAACTCCATAGAAAATAGTTTAAATGAAACTAATGATTTTCTCTTTATAGGTAGCATTGAAACGGGGACAGTTTGCAACGTTGAGATGGAGTCATGGGTTGCTGCAGTAGAAATAAATGGTCAGAAGGTAGAAATGAAGCTGGATAGTGGAGCCATAGCCAATGTCATGCCTGTAAGTGTATTTCAAAAAAATAAAACTTGATTTCAACAATTTAAATCAAAGTACCATGAAGCTGAGGTCATATACAGGAGATCTTTTGCCAATAATTGGAGAATGCAATTTAGAATGCAGATATAATAATTATACTGGAAAATTCTTATTTCACATTGTTGATATGAATAGTTGTTGCATTTTAGGCCTTCAAGCTTGTGTTAAACTAGGTATGATTCGAAGAATAGATAATGTTCAAGAAGTAGAAAACTTCTCTGTTGAAAATATCCAGTATTTAATAAATAAATATGAACATCTATTCAAAGGAATAGGGTGTCTGGAAAAACCATACCATATTGAATTAAAAGAAAATGCAAAACCTATAATAAACTATGCTAGAAAAGTACCATTTGCAGTTAAAGATAAATTCAAAGAAAGTTTGAATGAACTTCAGAAAGAAAAAATAATTGTTAAAGATGATAACAGTGCGGATTGGGTAAATCCAGTTGTTTTGGTCATGAAACCTGATAAAAAATCAATTAGAATTTGTTTAGATCCCAAATTTCTGAACCAGGCTATTAAAAGACACTACTTTCAAATTCCAACTATAGAAGACTTGACAAGCAAATTAACAGGTTCAAAAATATTCAGCACATTAGATGCAACACAAGGATTTTTGCAGATCAAGTTGGATTTTCAAAGCTCTAAACTTTGCACTTTTGCAACCCCATTTGGAAGATACCGATTTTTAAGGTTACCTTATGGTCTGATCAGTTCATCTGAAGTATTCCAAGAGCGTATGACTGAAATCTTTGGTGACATAGAAGGTTGCAGTGTTTACATAGATGATATAATAGTGTATTCAAAAACTGTAAAAGAACATGAGAAATTGTTAGAACTAATTTTTAAAAGAGCAGAACAATTCAACATTAGATTCAACAAAAATAAATGCAAATTTGGTTTAAAAGAAGTCAGATATATGGGTCACAAAATATCTGAAAAAGGTTTAACAGTTGATGATTCAAAAATAGAGGCCATAAAAAATATGCCCCCTCCAAAAAACTTGAATGATTTGCAAAAATTCCTTGGACTAGTAAATTATGTAGGTAAATTTGTAAAAAATCTTTCAGAAAAGACATCAACATTAAGAATATTATTGAAAAAAGGAGTTGAATTCATTTGGGACAAAGATCAAATAGAAACTTTCAATAATTTGAAAAAGTTGATATGTCAAACACCATGCTTAAGATTTTTTGATCCAAATGAAGAAATCACGATCTCTGTAGACGCATCTCAGAACGGGATGGGTGCATCACTTTTTCAAAATGGCATACCTTGTGCTCATGCATCTAGGGCTCTAACAGAAGCGCAAAAAAGATATGCACAGTGTGAAAAAGAACTATTAGCCATATGGTTTGGATGCGTGAAATACCATCAGTATGTATTTGCAAAAAAGTTCATAGTTGAAAGCGACCACAAACCATTAATATCAATAATCAAAAAGCCAATCAATGATTGTCCTGCTCGCTTGCAAAGAATGTTAATTCAACTTAGAAAATATGAATTTGAGTTAGTATATAAACCAGGAAAACATTTGATTGTGGCTGACACATTATCCAGAATATATGAAAAGAAATGCTTTGAAGAAAATATCGATCTGGAACTAGATGCTCAAATATGCTTAATTGCAAATAACTTGAATGTAACACAAGAAAAAAGAAATCAAATAATAAACTTCACAAAACTAGATCCAGATTTGATAACGCTAAAAAATCAAGTTATTAAAGGATGGCCAAACAAAATACAAGACGTGCCAGATAACATCAAATTCTATTATAGATTCAGATCTGAAATTACAATTGCAGATGATCTCTTGTATAGGGGCACTAAGCTCATAGTACCACAAGCTATAAGAAAAGAAATATTACAAAAACTCCATATAGGCCATTCAGGCATTAATAAATGTATAAGCACTGCCAACAGTTCATTTTACTGGCCTTTCATGAACAAACAAATTCAGGACATGATACTGACTTGTGAAAACTGTCAACAGTTTAGAAAAACCAATTGTGCGGAACCTATGATTCCTCATGACGTTGTAAAGCTGCCTTGGTTCAAGGTTGCTTCTGATATATTTCATTTCGATGGCCAATCATTTCTAATAGTAGTAGATTATTATTCGAAGTTTTTTGAAATTTCAAACCTGAATAAGGATCTGACAAGCGAAAATGTAATTTTAAAGCTTAAATCAATATTTGCTAGACAAGGAATTCCTAGAATTCTAATAACAGATAATGGACCAGAATATAGTAGTTTACTATTCAAAAAATTTACTAAGAAATGGGAATTTGAACACAAAACGTCATCTCCAAGATATCCTCAGTCCAACGGGGAAGTAGAAAGAACTATTCAAACAATAAAAGCAACTTTAAAAAAATGCAAAGCTAGCAACTCCGATCCTTATTTAGCATTACTAGCATTACGTAACACACCTTTGACTTATGGACATAATTCGCCAGCTAATATTTTAAGTAATAGAAACTTGAGAGATTTGTTACCAAAAAGTCAATCTAATTATGAACCAACACTTTTCAATAAAGTGAAACACGACGAACTGATTGAAAAATCAAAATCTAAACAAAAAGGTTATTTTGACAAAAGAGGTGTAAAAACTTTGCCTGACATAGAAATTGACTCAAATGTACTAATTCAAGAGACATTGAAAAGTCCTTGGAAAAAAGGGATAGTATTAAGTAAAGTAGGGATAAGATCTTATGAAATAAAACTGGAAAATGGTTCAATAATAATAAGAAATAGAAGATTTATAACACCATACAAACGAGATATTATTAAACCATCTTGCAAGAATTTAGAAGTAAGAGAGTATGATTGTAATAGTTCTAAAAATTATGTATACTTGAATGTAGAAAGTGAGAATGATCATCAGAATCTAAATGATAATCAAAATATGAATGTGGAAGATTCTGATAATGCTGACAGCAGTTTTCAAAGTATAAAGTATGATAATTCAGAGCATAATACAGATTATGCATCAGAAAATCACACAGATTCAAATTCACAAAATAATTCCACTCTTAGCACTGATAGCAGTACAGAGGAAGAAAACATATCAGAATGTTTCAATAATACAGTAACTAGAACTACAAAGTCAGGCAGAATTGTTAGAAATCCGAAAAAATTTCAAAATTTTTACACTTTCAAGTAGAGGTAAACAGTAGACATTAAATGAAGCTAGACACAATCCATAAGAGGGGAAAGAGCTAGGGATATAGGATTAGGATGCTGGATAAGATAACTATGTATGTGATTTAAATGTAAAATGTCCATCGTCATATTATCAATAAACTATGTAATAATTTCAATAAGTAAAATGTACAACATCAAAATATTATGTAAAAATTGTATTATATAAACAATGATGTAAACATGAAAGGGGGAGATGTGACATATTATGTACACCTACACTAGGTTACACTAACCATGCACTAGCACCGATATGTATTGTTCTGTGCCTGGTGCTCTGACTTCCGTGATCTGTGATAAAGATGATTAATAAACCAGTTATCATCCAGCAGTCTTTGAATTCAGACGTCCCGTCTCCAACACTCTCCCAAGTCCACACCACAAGCTCCTGGCCTGAAACAGAAAACCAAGATTTTGGGATGCACTTTTAGCAATTGATCTCACGTGATTTTCCCAAGAAAGTTTATTGCTGATAGTAATACCTTTATTATTCATCGATTATACAGGAACCCATTTATTTCCCACTAAAGGGCTAAGAGATAATTATCCCCTGATAAGACCATCAATTAATGTTAATTGAAAGCTGAATTATTGGTTTCAGGGCAATATTTCACTTGAGCAACATAAAAGGAATCAGTGAATGATATTGGTCTTGATGGAGAGGCATAATATATATGGATTTAAAAGAGACATATTTGATAAAATACCAGTCGAATGCTATTTCGCCAGTTGTGGCCACCTTTTCACCAGTTTTGACCAGGAAGAGAACTGGTTGTGACCACTGAGTGTTTGTTTAAAGACGAAATTATGAATATGTAAAGACCATAATAAAATATTCCATATACATGGAATATTTTATTGGAATCTTACGAAAAATGCAAAATTGAGTAAATATGTATTTCGAAAACTAATGAAAATAGGCAACAAACAAATATATACAATAATATCCTTCCATTCATACCAGAGGAGATCAGGCGGATCAGGCCATTCCCAATGATATATTCCACTTTTTTGCATTGTGCAGCAGTAATTTTCACCATTATTATCATTGTGTGTGATACTTTTTTTTATATATGAGAATAACAAATTAATTTACAGTTAAAACTAATTCATTGGGGCTACTCTTATTTATACTTTTTATTAATGACTTGCCATTAGTATTGAAATACTCAAGCTGTCTTTTATTTGCACATAAAATTTTGCTATGAATTTGTTGCTCTATAAGTGAGGTAAAACTGAATTATAATTAAATAAATAAGCAAAGCTCAATCATTTCCACATATGTTCATAAATGAACGAAACTGTTAGATAACGAGAGAAAACGACTACTTTCCTGCCTATATGCCGCGCAGAACATTGAATTGCATCATCCCGATATCTATGCAACCAATGAGATCGCAAGTGTGTCTTTCCTGAATGCTCAATTGTGCTTAAATTGTTCAGGAACGCTGGACCACCTACTGACCGGTTTCTAGCTTTTGGCTCTCATCAGTGCAGGAGTGTCCCAGATTTACAGTGTTAAATGCAGTCTCTGTACCCAGATTGCTTCGTGGCCGCCATCTGGTGCGAACCATTGATTGTACCATAATTGGCGTGGAATACATTGTCTCTAGATTCCACACGGCAAAAAAATTAAGCAAAATCGATCGCCCTGTAACTTTTTATATTCTTTCCGATTTTGGTGGAATTGTAGATTCAAGATTCGGAATATTATTTTGAATTTCAGTTTCCAAGTGAACGACCTTGGCGACCGCGAAACTAGTCCATGACATGACTAGTCACACTCACTGGTCACACTCGAGTTCGAGCTCGCCTCGAGCCCTCGAGCACATATACTCGAGCAGCGACAGCGCCGGCCAGTGCTTCTGAAAATTCCTATCAGAGAATGTGTTTGTCACTGTCAATGTCACTATTGTCACTCGCGTAGTCGTTTTTCACACTAGAGCTTAGCCATAGCACCAGTGCGAGAATATTGCGCCTGGTGCGCAGGTCGCTGGGCGCGAGAAATTGCAGCGAAACAAAAATAAATAGGTAAGTCATTGTGAAATGATATTGCGTGTCGCTCGCTGCTCGCTGGGCGCGAGAAATTGCAGCGAAACAAAAACAAATAAGTCATTGTTGTGAAATGATACATTAGACAACTGCTTTCCTAGTTGATACCATGTTACAGGGTGATCCCTAGAATCGTGACACACCTCAAATCAATTTATTCAAATTGAATTAACACTGTACTGTTCATAATTATTACATATATATATATCCCCAGATAGCACGAATATTCTCAGAATATTCTTACAAGCTGCGAAAATGTCATCTTCTAGAATAATATTCTGAAGAATATGCATAGAAAGTTCTCAGTATGTTGCGAATATTTATGGAATGTTCCATGCGAATATTCTGATAGTATTACATGAAAGTACATTCCTAGAAGCTCCTGGGATATAATATTCCAGAATGTTCATTAAATAATATTTTCGTGCTCGTCGAGTGAAAATTTCCCGAACGATGACAGTGAAAATATTGTCTCTCTAATTTGGATGTTTTTCTCGTTCCTCTAATCTTGATGAAGTAAGTTCTTTCTTTCTGTTCAATATCATTTTTCCATTCGATATATTTTTCATAAGATGGAAATTCAATATTTTCTTTAACCAACGTTAAGTTATGTGAAATTTCCAAATGTCTCTCGAATTGTGTACTCAATAATTTTTCACTGCACATTGGACAAGTGGAATTACCTGTTTCTTTCATAGTACTAGTAGTAGATGAATTGTTACATTTCTTTGTATGAATTTTTAACTCCCTCTGATTTTTAAACTGTTGTCCACATTTATCACAGGAAAACACTTTCTCACTTTTCTTCGACGGGGCTATCTTTGTTGGATGTAACTTCAAACAATGAGTTCTGAGATTTTGAAAAGAACTGAATGTTTTCGAACATTCTGCACAACAGTTCGATTCGAGGTTCGATTGCATTTTTAACGTGTGAAACGCTAGACTTGCAGGTCAAACGATAAATGAGTACATATTCTGGAAACAGTTCGAATGGCAACCAACAAATCTCCTTCCCGTGATACATGATTCGCCGCCAATTAAGGGTATTGGGTATTCTTTTACCAATGATGATCTTTATTGTTTCGCTCCAATATTTGTCCCGCGCCGCACGGCCGCAACCCTTCTCGCGCTCGGCGAGCGAGCGAGCAAGCAACGAAATTTTCTGTTTCTCGCGCCAAGCGACCTGCGCACCAGGCGCAATATTCTCGCACTGGTGCTATGGCTAAGCTCTAGTGTTTTTCACTTTTGTCTCTCATTACTGTCAGTGCAGTGAGATACTGTCAGACTGTCTCTGTCACTGTTAGTCCTTTAATCAAATCATCAAAACTTGATCAAAAATCACAATCCAAATCCTAACATTCCTAACAATAAATCAGATGTGCATGACAAGCAAAGAGGGTCGTCCTTTTCAATGTTCTCATTTTTTTCAAACTATTTAGAAAATACATCGATTACAGATGTCATCAATTTCTACTGGAACACAGCTTTTTTGTATCTAACAGATTTTCTTTCCTGTTTTCGAGAGGCACAAAAAGAAACTGCAAAAAATCTGCTAGACAGAATACCAGACACCATACAATTCGACGATTTTCAGTGGAAGTTGCTAAAGATTTTTTCAGGGCTTCTCTTATTCAACTTAATATCTATTGCATTTGTTTGGAAAAGATACGGAAAAATTCTTTGTGGTCGCTTTGTGAAAAACTGTGAGTACCCTATCATTTTTGACTTCCTACCTGCTAATCCCCAATTTTTGACAGCCACTCTGAGAGAAATAGAGGAACTGAAAGCTAGCGTGGCAAAATTGAAACTCCCTAAAGAACACACACCTAGAATCTAAAATGGCAGAAAAAATAAAGAAATTCTTTGCCAAGAAAAAAGCAGACACCAAATTCAAGCTTGCTGGGCCAGGTCACAAACTCAATGAATCCTCTACAACTGTTGTTGTGGGTCCTAGCAAAAAGAAACCCGCCTATGTGCCATCCAAAGTAGAACCTTCAGAAGCAGCTAGACAGGCTGCAGAAGCTGCCATGGTTAGACTTTCAGGACAGAGAAAAGACACTGCTTTCAACACTTCCTTGGCTGCTATACAAGCTAAGGTGCGCAGAGAATTGGAAGCTGAAAATAAGAGCCAAGCACAGGCTCAGGGTTTGCCTATGAGGCCTGTAGAGACTGAGTTGGAAGTTTCTGCTCATTTGGCTGTCAAAGGTAAACAATTTTACTGTGATTCTTCCAACTGATTGAAGCAATTTTTTTATTTTTCAGGTGTGTATTTCAAATGTGCTCTTATTAGTGATGAAGTTTTGACCAAAGATGAATGGAAAGTAAAAATTAAGGAATTCTTATTGAATACTTTGGAAGAAGAAAGAGGAATGACATCTTGCCTAATGATTTATTCTTGTAATTACAATAGAAGCAAAGTAAGTGATTCTGATTTTGATTTCATTACAGTAGCAAAGTCAATATTCTATCAAGTATCTGTCTCTTCTTCTAGGTACTAGAATGTGTTAATGTACTGTGTAGATACCTAGATAACCTAATAGGAAACCCAGAGGAACCAAAGTTCCACAAAATCAGATGTTCCAATGCTACTTTTTGTGATAAAGTCATTCCAATTTTGGGGGCCCAAGATTTTCTATATGCAGCTGGTTTTAGACAGCAAAAACTGGAGAATAATGGTGTAGAGGAAGATTTCTTGGTGTGGTCAATAGAAAATATAGACAATTTTGATACATTGCAGGTAAAAGACCCTTAATGAAAAATATGTTGATGAAGCACTATTATTCTCATTTCTTCAGTTCCTCAGAGATACATTGAAAGCTGAAGAACGAGTGGAATTGGAGATTGACAGGAATATACAAGTATTATCTCCTGCCCAAGCTTCTCAAAGAATTGAGCTGCCCCAAGATTTCTATGCAATGACTGCTGAAGAATTGAAAAAAGAAAAACAGCAGAGGTGACACAGAATTATAGGTCAGGTGTAAATCAGGTGTTGATATTTTGTTTTATAGGGCTGAAATGGTTGAAAAGCAAATGCAGCTGAGGACGAAAGCCATGAGAGAGAAAGATGAAATTCGAGAAATCAGGAAATACAAGTTTTGTCTAATAAGGATTAGATTTCCAGATGGATTATATTTACAGGTAAAACATCATTATTAATGAAACAGATTCTCATTCCAAAATGTTTTGATTTTTGAGTCCTGGTCATGTTGCATGGTTTGTCATGAAATTGGTTTGGTACTAACCCCTTTTCTGGAATAGAATCTGAAATCTATTCATCTACTCCTAGTATAATACACAAATTTTGCACTTTTTTCACTTGAAATCCACACAATTCAAGTCCTGTTTATTGGATTAGAATCACAAGATGTTTCCAAGATGTCTACTTTTACTCACTGATCAGAACACATGAATAACTAAAAATGTTCAATCAGTTGGTACAATTTCATAGCCCTCTATTTGAATGAGGCACTCTGACACAGTCTCTATTGTTTTTCATCCAGATGGTCTGTGGTTGTTCACAGAATTTATTGTATTAATCTATAGTTTGCATATTTGCATATCTTGGTTTTCATATTAGTTTGAATTCATATAATCATCCCTTCATAGATCATGATTATCCATCCTGAAGCCCAAAAATGCTCACCTTCATTGTAATTACTGAAATGGGTCATAATGTAAAAATAATTGATAAAAAGGATACAAGATACCTAGGTATATGTATTTAATTATTTTGTCATAAAGTTCCTCTAAAACCTTGTGTAAAATACCTTATTCTACAAATGTCAAAAAATGACAAGGTTTGTGCATTGATTACAAATTGCAAGTACCTACTTCATGCATTGTTATCTGAACTATATGAGATATTTATATTTCAACTTTATGGTCCTCAATTGAGCAAACATCCATGAAATCATTCATCAGGATAGGGGAGGCCTTTTGAGCCAGGTCAACCCTTTTTTTATATCAAGCTAAGCATAATTTTGCTTTACAACTATATTTTTTGACGTTTGTCCATCTTTCTATTCAGTGCTACCTACCAATGTGGCCACATTAAAATACAGAGAGACCAAAAACACTTTCCTTGTCTAACATCTAGGCTGGGCCACTGAACTATTTTCAATGTTATATGATGTCCCATGTCTACAGTGTCAATCATCAAGTCGGCATCATATTGGAAAAACTTTTATTAATGACTTATTTTGAAATTCGAGTTGGACGTTGAGTTTTGTTTCAAACAAGATGAAAAATGGCCTACTCAATCGGGGTCACGTGACTTTCGCTACATGTCAAAAGTGACATTTTTTCAAATTAATCGCTGAAAGTAGGCTTATTTGTTCGAATATCGAAAATGTTTACTTGAAAAAGTTGTTTCTATTCAAATTTTACATATGTGACTCGGATTTTATCTTTCTATTACATTTTTTAGATTTCGATATTTTTTAAAAAATTTCGAAATTTCTGTAATATAAAAAAAAATGTAAATTCGATAAAACTACTTCATACCAGTAGCTTCATCATGCTACTTACTTTCAATTACTAATTATCACTAATTATCGACAAAAATATGATTTTCTTCAGAAAATGATAATCTCCCCTTCAAAATTCTGTTATGTTTGATGCAAACAAAAAATGTAGTAGAAAGATAAAATCCGAGTCACATATGTGAAATTCAAAACTTTTTCAAGTAAACTTTTTCGATATTCGAACAAATAAGCCTACTTTCAGCGATTAATTTGAAAAAATGTCACTCTTGACATGTAGCGAAAGTCACGTGACCCCGATTGAGTAGGCCGATTTGCATCTTTTTTGAAGCAAAACTCAACGTCCAACTCGAATTCCAAAATAAGTCATTAATAAAAGTTTTTCCCATATGATGCCGACTTTATGAATGACACTGTATGTTATAGATGTCATTGTTTATAGTGATGTTTCGAATTTTTAAAATGAAATTTCAAATCATATACCTATTTTTATTCACGACTAATATATTATACTTGTGGTTTTTGAAGTATAATGCCATATATTAATCCCGCAGGGAATAAAGACTATTAATCCCTCGCCATTATTCCCTGCGGGATTAATATATGGCATTATACTTCAAAAACCACAAGTATATATATTAGTCGCAAATAAAGTAGAGTATACTACTCGCAATAATGGCTATTATTCTCTCGGAATGTTACTCCCTCGCCGCTAACGCGGCTCGGTTCGTAAAAAATCCTCGAGAATAATAGCTATCATTATTGACTCGTGGTATAATCTACTATTAATTCGCTGTCGCCAAGGAATTAAATGACATTGCGATGACATTAAAAAAAACTACAGGAAAACATCGGACCTCTCTATATTACAATGCGACCACGTTGGTAGCATTGAAGGGAAAAATGGAAGAGGAGAGAAAGTGATGCCAACCCGTAGGCGTAGAGATATTTCCTACATGTAGGGATACTTTGCTAAATTTAGGGTGTGTAGGGATGCAGGGACAGATTATTCGATAATCCAGAATTGTAAGGATTTTTGACTGTTCTTGTTGCCTGACTGCCTCAAGGACAAAATCTAATGTATGATAACTTGAAATTTAAAAAGCAGAGGCAGTCTGTCAGTTCAGAGAGTGGTTGATTATTATCATTTCATGATTATTTGTATTAAGTAGCTTTGCCTGACTGCCTCAAGGACTATATCTAATGTATGATAACTTGAAATTTAAAAAGCAGAGGCAGTCTGTCAGTTCAGAGAGTGGTCGATTATTATCATTTCATGATTATTTGTATAAGTGGCTCTGGTTTGAGTTGTTTATGACAAGTGACACTAGTGACAGTGACATTTGGAATTGTGTTTTGAAAAATTGTCTGCTAAAGCTAAATCCAATAAATCTTAAGGTTCATTTGACTTTGAAATGACTTGTAGGGATATTTTCCCAATGTAGGGAATTTTTATAGGTATGTATAGAGAAAACGTATTCGAAAGGTTGGCATCACTGAAGAGAACTTTCCTCTCTCTCATTCAAGGTAGGGTCCCTTGATGTAAATTGACGTATTTGTCATCTTAACAGGGTACGGACAGATCCTCGTCTCCTCTCACTCTAAAATGTTTGTGAAACAGTTATATAGTTCCATCTTTATTCATTTCTGGGGATAAACACTAGATTTCGGACTTTGTTGTTTTCTAGGTTATATCGAGGACATTGGCGTATCATACGTTATTTCCACAAGTAATTTATCATTCAACTCTACATTTATTATATCCAAATGATGATAATTTTCGAGTTTTTGGATTTTTCAACTCCAGAATAGTCTGTGAGGCAGTGAGCAAATTTTTCTGAAAGTTTGACACGTTTTACCAAATGGAACTGTTCCTAGGCAGTACCATCAATAAATTAATTTTGATTTCAGACTAAGCATTATGGTTGAGAAATGGTGAAAAATTCTAGGTAGGTATTCAAACTAATGGGCTCATATGTCATGTGTGCTGTATATATTCATGTTGATAATAATTTTTGCAGTTTTTCACAAACACTTGATATTTCCTGATTGTAGGTATAATTTTTTAAATGGTAGGGCATATGCCTCTTCTCTTAATCCTCCGTTCTAATCAAAACTGTTCCTACTAAAATGCATCGAAAAATTGGGGAGTGGATGATAGGCACAACGAGAAAGTATAATATGTGATTTCATATTAGTTTCACGTCGAATATTTTGCTGATGTATTTACCAATTCTCCCCATTCGGTCACTACACTTTCCATGTTTCAAGTTCATTTGCATTTGATGGAAAGCTGACAAATTCGAATTTACCATCCAACTGATTGATACAGCCTAACGCAGTACATTTTACCATCCTTCCAAAACAGAATTGAATAATTTGTAAGATCTCTTATAACGCCTATGGATGTGACGTGACAGCAATGTCATGCCAGGGACGCCAATACACGAAACCAAAGTCACTAGATTATTGAAAGAGAAAGGAGCTATGATCTATTCGTACCCTGTTAGATGATAAATACGTCAGTTTGCTTCAAGGGACCCTGGTTCAAGGTAGAAACAAGCTCAAATCTCAATTCTCGTAATTCGCCGTTTTCAGGGTACATTTTCCGTGTACGAAAAATTCTCGGAAATCCTGGACTTCGTCAAAGAAAACCTGGAACACGAAGGACTACCCTTCATTCTCTCAGTCCCTACGGGCCACAAGCTGGAAGAGTCGGACAAAGAGTCCACTCTGGCAGACTTGCGGCTAGTCCCGGCCACCATTTTGATGTTCCAGTGGGACCCTTTGGTAGAAGAAGACCTCAGGGCTGCGGGGAATATTGCTTATCTGAAGCCAGAAGTCATGCTGCTGGTCCAGTCGATGTGATGGAATGGAAGAGGTGCCGAGTTGTTCTGAATTTTTACTTTTTAGGTCGTCTGAATAAAGGTTCGGAATGTTCGTCGGTGTTATTGCTCATATAATATGCAGCATCTTTCAGAAAGGGAAAAATTTTGGATAATAATTCATCTTCAAATTTGATTTGGGCGTCAAGTTTTGCTTTGAAATAGATGAAAAATAGGTTAATCGATCGTGGTCAAGTAAATTACGCTACATGTGAAAAGTGAATTTTGTTTCAAATTAATTGCTGGAAATCGGCTTATTTGTTTAAATTTCGAAAACATTAATTGAGAAAAGTCATTTCTATACTAATTTTACAAATATGTCTCAAATTTGAACGAGCTATTGCAACTTTGAAAATTTTGATATTTGTAATATTGAAAAACTATAACTTCCACAAAAATGTTTCATACCAGCTTAATCATGCTGCTAACTTTCAAATACTAATTATTGCTTACAAAAATATGATTTTCTTTAGAAAATAGTAATCCTGCTTTAAATTTCTGTACTGTTTGATGTAAAGGTGATGTAGGAGTCGGGAGAATGTTGGCCACTGGGCTAATAGCACAGTGGCGTCATTTCAGTGAATACCAGGGGGGGTCAAGAACGTCAGATAAAAACTTAGCAATGCGAAAAATGCGCCGCAGACGAAATCTTTTTGAGGTTCAAGGTCAAGTGCTTTCAAATTCAAAAAAAATTCTGTACGGTAAAATTGTGCCGCCGGCGAAAATTTTATTGGGATACGAGGTCAAATGCCTTAAAATTGAAAATCAAATTTCTTCCAGACTGACAACAACTCTATCACCTTATTAATCATAAATTATTCAGTTACAGGGTCTCAGTTTGTTGCAATAATTGATATAAAATAATCTGGAAATAGGAGCAATAAAATAGTATTCTATATACTGCATGTAGGTGACCGGAGCAAGTGAAAGATATCGAAATTTTTTGGGAGCAAGGGATACTGACTCATTTTTTCAATTCACTTCAATTTCTGCAGCATATTCAAATCAACAACTTTCATTCATAACAGGAAATGAGTTAATCATCAGTCTATTGTAATTTTTACATTTTAGGACACTCGCCTTTGGCTCCTATATTTACATGAACTTTGCCTAAAATACCATTATAATATTTCAGAAAGTTAGTAGAAATAAAGAAATATCAAAAATTGAAAATGTGTGAAACAACTCTTCTCAATAAGCGTTTTCGAAATTCAAAGAAAAAGCAATTTGGAAAAATATTACTTCTGACATGTAGTGGAAGTCACGTGACACCGACCAAGTAGGATAGATCTTCTTGAAATATTGAGATATACTAGTTTATACAAGGTGTTTCATAACATGGGATGCACTTCAAGTACAGGTGTCTCAAAAAGAGGGATAACTTCTTATATAAAAAAGGTCCTGATGAAATGGGAGAGTTACTGAGTTGTTCTGAATTTCAATGTTTTAGGTCATCTGAATAAAGGTTGGAAATCTTCATCAACGATATTACTCATATTCCTTGTGATTTCTTAAAAAAAAAAAAATAGGAAGGATGAACTTATTTTTAAAGGGTGTTTTATAATTTATGATCTTTGGGAAGTGATGGGGTACCCTAAAAACAGTTCCTGTAAATAGGAAGAGTTGCAAAGTTGTTCCGAATTTTCACTTTTGAAATTGAAATACTTTTGCTCTAATACAGGGTGTTTTTTTTTTCTGGAGGAAAGAAGTGGATAAGTTTCGATAAATACCAAAGACATGCTTGTTCATAAAGAAAATGTTCCATAATGAAATGGGAGAGTTGCTGATTTCTGAATTTTAATTTTTTATATTCTCTGAAGAAAGATTTGAAATGTTCATCAATGTTATTGCTTATAAACACCCTGTAGCTCCTCAATGAACCCTATTTGGGTAATGAAATCTAGTATTCCCTGGATATCTCTTGAAGATTTTTCATACAATCACCCTATATGGTTGTTTTTCAGGTTTATACTTTGAACCTCATAATACTAGGTGAAACAAGACATGCATATTTTATTCCTTGAGAAAAATTAAAAATTCTCAGAAGTTACCTAATCAATGATGGTACTTTTGTGACTCCATATTTTTCATTTCAAATGGAACCCTGTATATCCCGATATCTCATTATATTTATGTTAATTATGAAAGATGAATTATTTAATATGTTATTTGACTATTCTTACATATTTTCTCCAACTCGAATTTTACTGATTCAAAATAGTTATTTACACTACAAGGGAGGCAAGTGATACTTACCAGTCGAGGACATTGTTTGCGCCCGAGACTGGTCAAGAACACTGCCTCCCGAGTTTTGTATTATATTTTTTCTACTCCAGTTCCCTTAGATTAAAAAAAATTTTTTTCTACTCCTTACTCGGTAAGTACTTCATTTTGATACTGATTTGAGGGAGGAAAACACGTTCTACCTCCCTAGGGAGGTAAATATTTACTTACCTCCCTAGGGAGGTAGAACGTGTTTTCCTCCCTCAAATCAGTATCAAAATGAAGTACTTACCGAGTAAGGAGTAGAAAAATTATATTTCCTTAACTATACTCAATAATTTTACCATGTTATTTTTTCATGTAGCATCAATTTATTATTTGAAAATCATTACCTATATATGGCATTTTCAGGCCATGAACATTTGCAATTCTGGTCAAAGAATAACACGTAAATGAAGACTGTCATTTTGAATTGAATTTTTGAGTAACAATTGTATTTCAGAATACTGCCCTCATTCTTGTTTGATAAATTCATCAATATTTTCTTTATTTTTGTAAAAATTTTACTGAAATGTCTAGTCAAGAGTTATTCAATAATGAAAAATCGCTTGTACACTGTACATGATATAAGTTTTTTGGAACCAAAACATATTTCAGGAATTCTCAATATTTATTTCAATTAGATAGGCATGTTTATTTGATTGTTAAATTATCACCATGATCTATAAATGTTATGAAATAATAATTTTTCACTTATCACCTCAAATTCACCAGGAGGCCACCAGATATAGACCAACCCCCATAAATAACATGGAGGGCCCTGTTTTCTCTTGCTAACCTGGCTGAGTATGAGAATGCATATGTTAATCTTTTATCTCAAGCTTCATGCATAATATATTAATGTTATAAAATAAAAAAAATTAAGCAAATATTGGGTGCCTTCTTCAATTTAAAAAATATCTGCTAGAATGTTATATCAATCAGACAATGTGTGCCTCTAGCAATTGGAGCTCTTACAGATTCCCAATGTTTTATAAGCCAACAAAAGGTAAATTTAAATATAAGAGGTTGTATTAATCAATTGAATTAAAATTTCTAGTTTCATAAGGTGCTCTTGTGATTCTATTTCAAAGATAATTTCATATTCTATTTGAGTATCAATATTTTGGAAGTTCACTTGTTAAAAATATTCTACCACAGATCAAAAAACTTCATCTACATAGTGAAGGGATCATTAGTGAAAAAATAATAAATCTTGATAATTTTATTGACTTCTGATGATGACTTCTTGACAACTTTTTTGCACAAAATATTCCACAATTCTTTGGACACAGTATTTTGAGCACCCACTGGAATACATAATCCTGTGAAAAATTATATCCTTCATACCCAGGCTTCAATATATTATACCTTTTGTTTGGAATCCCAAAAGAGTTTTCCATGAACCTGAAAAACGTGAGAAAAGTTTTGACCGTCCCTATCTGCTTACCCTTCAATTGATTTGTTCCTTCAAACACATTTTTTAGAAAAATATACATTCTTTGAAGAAGTTTAAATTCAAATAAAAGTAAATATCAAGGAATTTCAATAAGAAACTATTGAAAACTATTTGGATTGAGAAAAAAAATCGAAAATGTGTCTTCAATTTTGTATTCACTGTACTGTATTTTTTAAAGCATTGTGTGAAAAATAAAACTACAGACCTCTCAATCCTTTTGAACTGTTCCATCAATCACAAAAAAGAAAATTTCACAATTAATGACTGATCACAGTTAAATTTTCCAAAAAAATAACTTTTTGTACCACTGAAACTTTGAACAAAACCACTTGATGAAAAACTTTCAACATTTATAAATACTTTTGAATTTTTCACTGTCACAAGTTAAGACCTCAAAACCCCTAAAATTCACACTCACTCACTCAAAAAACAACACATTTTCTGAAAGAACTTATCTATTTCACAAAACACAGTTGAATACATGTGAGATTGCAAAACACTGAGTAAACTTATTTTTCCACTACAATCACATGTTGAAAGTATATAATCTTTTAAAGAACTACACTACACTACATTACACTATAGATTTTGAAATCTATACAGCCCTTTCACATATATCAAATAAAAACTGCACCAAGCCAAAAATAATGTTATTTTTTTCGAAAAATTGATGGGAAAGAACTGCTCACCTAAACTTACTTCCACTCACAACATACAGAGTGTTATGTAATACACTTTTTATCAACAGAAACTGATTAGATCAACACAGGTTCAATGTTCAACAATTTCCTGAAAGAAACACATCATTAGATTTTACTTTTAAATTTTCATAATAATGTAACAAATGCTCTGGAAATTATAGAGGGTGTTTTCATAGATGATAAACTATGACATACATGTGAAAGTTTAAAAAGTATAGTAAAAATATATTGAATTAAAAATATTACTGTTGCTCCATATTGAAGATATCATTTTTTATAAAAAAGAAAGCTATACCTGAGGCAATACCATAAAGAGTATAATTCAAAACAAAAAAATTGAATGAAAATACCTGAGGCAGAAAAATATATTGTACTAGAAAGAATAAATGACAAATATATAAAAAATTAAATTAGTAAACAATATATATTGATAAAAAAAATAATCACAATTACTAAGTGTTGCATTTGCATTATCTCAAAATGAAACACTTGTGTCATGCTTTTATGCTGAATGCTAATATATTTCTCTGCAGTGGTTTTGATCATCTCTTAGGTATTAAGGATCATCACTTTGTTACCTACCAAAAATAAAATGCTTCAAAGAACATAAAGGAACATGTGTAGGTATGAACTTTGCTAGTGACATTGGAACTGAAATTCCAGTTTGATGAAAAGTGGTTAAAAGTCTGTACCACCAATGAAAAAACCACAATTTCTCAGATTTTGTGAATTCATACATGAATAATCAGAAGGTTTTTGATTAAAATCACCCGTTTACAAAACTGAAATCAATAATTATTGTGAATTGTGTTCTCTTTATAATAAGTCTTTTTGTTGTGGAACAAAATCAAACACCCTGTATGTTCTCAAAAATCATGAGTAACATAAAATGCAAATGCCAGGTGAATTGAAAATTTAAAGTTATTTTTTTTTCAGGCCTCCTGCCTCTGTACAGGATGTCCCATATTCGAGGGGTATAATTAGGTTCTCGGTAACCATAACAGATACTAAGTCCGTTAAATTAGGGCAAAAATCATTGGGTAGAGCGGAAAAAGTGGCAATGATTATTTGGTCATATCACTTCAAATGAAGTCAGAAAACAATTAAACGAATTCGCGGATATTCCTTTTTTTTTTCAAATATCTTTGAAAGTAATTAGGAATTTCCAAACTTTCGAGACGGGTTTTTGATCAGCATCAAATTGCGCATCTTTGCACTAATTTAGCCGACTTTGTATCTGTTATGATTACCAAGATCCCGTCGAATTTGGGACAACCTGTACAGTTAATGAAATCAATGTTGCTGGCAGATTAAAAGAAATTATATTGTGCAAGTCTTGCAAAATCCTAGAAATGAAGCTATCACTGGAGGTAACAAGTATGTTTTGTGTCAAAAAGAAGGACCTTCAATCAAGTTTTGATCACAGCAAAAAATACTTTCAAAATCTAAAGGTCATTAATTTGAATTATCTACTTATCATCAGATACAGATCAATTTTTCATTTGAATACTTACATTACTCATCACCTACCCTTCATTTTGAATCTGGTAAGTAGTCCTGAAAAACAAAAAATGGTACAGACTTTTCTCCAGGCCATAGATCTACCAAACCAGAACTTCAAAGAACACTTTCTTATGGTATTGCATCAAACTAGATAATAATATATTGACTATACTTTTTCAGTCGTCCAAATTGCGCAGTACAAGAGGCAACTCTTGAAAAAAATACAGTGCTCAAACAAAAAAACAAAGCCAAAAAAATTATGCAGTACCACCACGTACCACTACAATAATCAAATGGTCTTCCTTAATGGCTTCATCAGACAGGTTGGGACAGGTTCTTTTCAACAACTCAGTGGAAAAAGGACAAGGAGGGAAGGAATACAGCACCCCTGTAGCTTCAGTTTCTTTATTCAATAGCGAAATAACCCCCGCCGCTTCTTTCTGCTTCAAATAAGAAACCAGGTTTCTGAGAGGCCTAGTTTGCACGGTAGCATCATCGTTAGTCACGGAAGCTGTAGACCCAGCCAAACCTAGGAAGATAGCGTGCGAGCTAGCGCTAGAAATCCGCTTTTGCACATCCTCTAGCTTGGGCTGATCAAGTCTCAGCCTTTGCGTGATGCGCAACTGGTGTTTCCCTTCCTCATCCTTCATCAAACCATCCACGATATCCGTATCCCCGTCAAGCAAGTGGAATTTAGCGGGAAACAGCGAATTTTTCAAAATAAGTGCCCCTTGCCATATCGTCGTGCACTTTCTAGCTACTTCCGGTAAAGTACGACTGGAAGCTAGGAGCCCCGCACGTCTAGACCCGCTGTCCGAATCGGAATCCGGAGATCGCCTAGGTGACCTTGACCTAGATCGGTCAACCACTCTAGAACCCGACCGCCTTCGGTCGTATTCCGGGTCCCGCACCCTACCAAACTCGTCTTCAACCCCGCGCTCTGGATACCTATAGGGCCCCCTGCTTCCGCTACGGCCCTCGGGATAAGCCCTGCGGCCGTAGGCGTCATAATCGTAATCATAGTCCCCCTCTCTAGGTCGGTAGTCTTCGGCAGCAGGGTAAGCAGCCTTGGGCCTTTGATTGACCCCCGGAGTGACGTCAGCGAAGTCTATGCGCAAGCGGCGTTCGGGGCCCCCTAACGCGAAACCTCGCATCTCTTTGACGGCAGCTTGCGCGGCGTCTATGCTATCGTAGAGGATGAGAGCTTGGTTGTCGCCTTTGACATAGTCGATCTTTTTTATGGCGCCGAACCTATCGAATTCGCGTTCTAGCTGCGGAACAGAGGTCCAAGGGCCTAGGCCGCCTACCCAAATGCGCGTGGTGGGAGTAGCTTTACCATAACCGATTTTGCATTGAAACTTACCAATGTACTGACCAGAGAGTTCGACTTTTGCGCGATGCGCCATGTCTAAAGTGTTAAAGCGAACAAAAGCAAAAGCATTTCCTGTACCAGGTGGAGGTCTCTTGATGTCAATATCTTCCACAACCCCGTACCTACCGAAAATGCGGCGAAGCTCTTCCTCAGTAATATTAATCTCAAGGTTACCCGCGAAAAGTGTTCTGGTAGCCAAAGGATCATCTTCAGGTTGCACATGATGCAAATAATTTGGAAATTTATCTTTCTTACTTTCTTTATTTTGCTCAAAAGGAGTTCTAGTCATGTGACCTTGTCTGGGAGGCCCGTACCCGTGTACGGGCCCCATGTGGGGGGGACCGTGGTGCATGGGAGGACGGGCTAGGTAATCATGATGGGGCGCAGGCATGGCATCTCGTCTGTAATCGCGGTGCACTGGGACGCCAGGGGGCACCGCATACCCCCTGTCATAACCACGTTCGACAGCTCTCATGCGGTCTGGAGACCTAGCATAATAGTGTCTGTCATACTCAGGGCTTATAGAACGCGGTCTGCTACGATAAACATCATTAGCGCGGGGTACTTCATAGACAGCTTCGACTAGGGCTACTTTGTCATAGATTATGATGCGCGGTTTGCCGTGTTTAGCATCTCTGGCATCTTCAGGGTTGCGAAAGCACACATAGGCGACGCGCTCCTCCAAATCGTGAGTCACTCGAATGCTCAAGTCTCCGTACTTCTTGTACTCCCTGTACAGCGTGTCTTTGATTACCTCGTCACTAGCTTTGGGATGCAGGGCGCTGACGCAGAGCACTTTGTAAGGGTACGAGCGCTCCGGGGGGCGCATGTAATCATCGCGGTGCGGAGAGACGTAGCGAGCCCTAGGGCTGGGCGATCTGGCCCGACTACTCCGCCTCCTGATGCGGTCCTCGTCCGAGCTGTCGTCGTACCTTCCTATGCTCGAGCGGGACCGTTTGCTGCGAGGCGGGGTGTCTCTGTCAATGCTTCGCTTCATATTGTGAATCCTAACTGTTATTTTGTCTCTTCCAGAGGCGGACATACGCACTGCACGCACCGATTAATTGACACTAGATGGATGACGCGGCACTCCTTTCCTAGAAACACAAGAACAACACACATTGACGAACATAATCACCAGAAATTGCTACGTTAGTATCATGAATAAGAAATAAACATACGTTGAACTACACAGCACTGTGTAAAATGATTAGAATCCACTTGGTTTTATCAAAAATTCGTCAATCACCTTCATCGATCGCCAAACACAAAACAAAATGGCAGCAACAGCCAACAGCAACCCTCAATCAGCCAGTGTTGCCAACAAGCAAATTACGAATGTCGCTACGTCACCACCACGGTCACCAGAAAAATTTCACTACGCCCCGCTACGGTCGTGTCTGGTATATTTTCTACCGACTTACAATTTTGATAATAACGATAGGCAATTGATTTGTTCTATAAATAATATAATAATTTTACAGCAAAACATGCACTTTTATAATGAAAACATATAAATATAAACAACAAAGTGAAATAAAATCCTCAACTATCCTTTAAGAAATCCAGATATGTTTGCTGCTTGACTGCAGGTAAGATACTGCAGGTAATACAAGATTTATTCTTGTAATTTATTTGCCCAACGACCGAACTAAAATACCCTATGCGGTGTTACAGCAGCGACGCGACGCAGCGATACGTAGCTGCCTGTCGCTTTCTTCTTGTTCTAGGATTGTTGAGTTATACAGGATGTGCCGTGAAAGTGTGCCCAAACATTCATTATTTTCAATGAAATAGCCTTGAAGTGATAAGTAATTTATTCAGTGATATAAGCATGCATGAAACTGATATCAATATCATCTATATAGATGGAGGGCTTCCGTTATTTTGATATTATAACTAAAAAGTTCGCCTAACTATATGCTGATATATGTACCTACAAATTAGGAAAAAGTATAAGTACATACTCTTGAAAATAAAATATATGTATATTGATAACATTATAAAAACACAACATACAATATTATTTCGACATAAAATATCAGATCAGAATTCTGAATCATGAACCACCCTATATCTGTTCCGATTAAATATCAGTGCATAGTGAATCAAAAGTTGAGATAGGGACATGTGAGCCGTTTTGACCGATGATGAATAGTTTCGAAACAAAAATATCGATTTTGAACTCCCTATATCTCTGTAATAATTTTCGATAGACCCCAAGTGTGATAAAATCGATGAAATCAGCTCTTCAGGGACAATCTAAAGATGCGATAAAATACAGGGTATTCCATTTGGAATATCAATGTTGCTACTACTTTCTAGTAGAAGCGGCAACACTGCATTGTCGAAAATATTTCAAATGAAGAGAGCGTATTCTAAAATATAAGCATGCACGGCATGCACGCATTTTCTCGATATAAAGATAGTGTAAGCTCGTCGTGACATACCCTGTATAGAGTTTTGGAAAAAAGTGTTTGAGTCACTTCCGAGTACCGACTTGAAATTATTCAAGGAAAATGCCATTAAGCTATATGGGCATCGAGTCTCGGGACACCCCCTGCATATCATTTCGCTACTACTTTTTCTCCTTGTTTAATAAATAACTATTAGCTCATTTTGGACTTGGACCAATTGGCATTTGATTTTTTTTTATAAGAAAAAAGTAATTTTACAGCAATTTATCCACTTTTATTTAGTGAACATATAAATATGAACAGCAAAGTAAAATAAAATCCTAAATGCTTGGCTTCATGTATATTTTAATCATTTACATACCTTTTTATATACGGTACAGTTGTATACCCACACACAACACCACAGACCACCCACCCGGAAGGAAGGTCTGTAAACAACAAATGGGAAATGATAAATGAAAAGTAAAAAGTAAACAGATATTTGAGTTATTCAAAAGATTCGGGGAACACCCAAAAAGCGTCAAAATAATCATCAGTTCTACCAACCTTGAGAAAGCATAAAGTTGCGTTCACAACCAAAGTTTTTACGTTTTGCTTTTCACGTTTGATTGGTGAAGCAGAATCTGAAATTAAACGTGAATTGAACCTATGCAAATGTCATTCACAACAACAACAAAATCAACATGACTTTTTACGGCTTTCCTCAGTTGCCTTGGTTTTGTCATTTGTGTTCCATCCTGAAATGAAGTTAAATAATCATTACAATGATATTAATTACATAGTTAATGATATTCATATAGAACTGGCAGTGACGTAAATTGATTCTCATTCAATACTTGAAGAGAAAAATCAATCATCAAGAGAAAAATAATAAATTGAACAGTACCTATACCTATCTAATATTCCGTGGATTCACGAAAAACTCATTAGCAAAATAAACATCATCATAACTTCTATATAGAAGGTTCCATACACGTATTGTTTTATCAGAACTAACATTAGTAATTTCCATTCAAGAATATCATTTTCTATTTTTACTATTTCCACAGACGATGGCTTCTTTCAACGTATAAAGCTGAATATTTTCAGCTTTCTGCGTCATTTCAATCACAGATTTTGCTTCACCAATCAGAATACGAAACGTAAAGAGCAAAACGTAGAAACTTTGGTTGTGAACGCCGCTTAATGGAGAAAGCCTTGTACCCAGTCATGGCGGCTAAATATCTAGACTGTCTGACGTGTTATCTTCACAGTCTAGATATTTAGCTTTCATTTTGTGTGCCCCTCAAGAAACCATGTCAAAATCACATGTTCTAGAATGATCAATTTCGCTACCGCTACCCAAGGCCCCAAGGATTATACTCTCCTTGACCGCTACCCGCTACGGTTGGCAACACTACGCACCAAGCGCACAAAAAAAATCGCTCAAGAAACGAGATGCGAAACTCGAGACTTTACGAGATTTCAACGACTTGTCAACTGTCACCATCTTCTTTTTCATTTCGCATCGCACTTATCACATATTCCTCTATGCCCTATGGTCTAAGGTGCTTAGGTGCTAACATATCAATGGTGCTCTGGTGCTAGTGGTGCCTATTTGTGAAAAATTTTAGAAGGTGATAATGATTTGAATTGTGAGGTTATGGTGTCTATGGTGATGACAAGAATGCTGATGCTGAACAAAAATATGGAAATTTGAAATTATTAATTTATTGTATTCATCTTCATCATCCAGTTAAGGAATGAGATAAAACAAACAGAAAATTGTATAATTCAAGATATGGAGTTATTTGTTGTGAACAGGTTAATGATTATGTAGGGACTTCAATGCAAATGTTATAATACCTATCTGGAATTTTAGGCATGAAGGTGATCAACTTCAAGAAGTTCCTGAGAATGATGAGCAATCTAAGCTAGACAAGGTTCTGAAAAAAATCGAGAAGAATAAAAAGTTGAGGCTTAAACAGAAAGAAAAACAATCTGAAATTCAATCTGCTAAGCAAAAAACTATTGAGGCAAGAAAAATCAGAAGAGAGATCAAAGCTTCTATAATATCAGTTCCAGAAAACACAAATAATGAGTTCATTGATAAAACTGTTGAGGAACCAATTCAAAATGAAAGTATAAACACAGAGAAACCATCAAATAAAAAGAGAAGATTGGACCCTGCACTTTTGGAAGGTTTCACTGTACTAGGAGCTGACAATGTTTCAAATAAAACAAAAGTAAGTTGGTATATTTGAAATAAAAATTCCAAATCTGTATTTGTTGAAATGTTTTTCAGGTTAAACGTGTACTTCCAAATTGGCTCTCAAACCCATCCATAATATCAGTAAACCTCCAGAACCTTGAAACTAAAGTCTCAGACCTTAAACAACTAGACAAAGGTCTCAGAAAACTTCTGAAAGCAAATGGGGTCAAATATCTCTTCCCAGTACAAGCACAAGTCATCCCATGGCTTTTACAAAGTATACATGATTCTCAAGTAATTTTTCCTAGGGATGTTTGTGTCTCTGCACCCACAGGAAGTGGAAAAACACTTGCCTTTGCTCTTCCTGTCATCCAAGCTTTGAAGAAACACACTGTAAAGAAAATAAGGGCTCTGGTGATTTTGCCTACACAGGATTTGGCCTTGCAAGTGTTCAAGACTTTCAAGATGTACACACAGAATACTAGCATTGATGTGTGCCTCATAACTGGGAGCAATTCATTTGCAGTAGAGCAATCACAACTGATAACTGAAAGTGAGTGTTTTTCTATTATTTATTTCCATCTTCTTTTTTCATGTAGCCACCAAATGCATGATCAGTTGGAACTGGAGTTTGGAATATAACAAGGATGATTATTCTTGTAACAAGTCTAGGAAAGTTGATGAATAATCTATTTTATTTCAGATAAAGTATTTGGTCCCATAAGCAGAATAGACATTCTAGTTTGTACTGCAGGTAGGCTAGTGGATCATTTGAAGCTGACCAATGGTTTTTCTTTGAAAAACCTAGAATTTCTTGTTATAGATGAGGCTGATAGAGTTCTTGAGAGTGTTCAAAATGATTGGTTGTATCATCTAGAGAAGCACATTCATTTGGAGGGTCTGTACTTACCCATATATCTTTTTTTATTTTTGTGGACTTGACATGTCCAAGTATTGGATTCAAATGATGTTCATGGATTAAAAATTCCAGTACACTATTCCTGGGAATAATTCATTTCCTTCTATTTTCAGAACCAGGTTCTCAGGATGTCCATGTTTTGAATCTACAGACCCTACAAAAACATAGGCCACCACAAAAACTGCTATTTTCAGCAACTCTTTCCCAAGATCCAGAAAAACTGCAAAAGCTCTCCCTGTTTCAACCAAAACTATTCACTTCTATTATGGAAAACCAAGAGGAAACCAACAATATTGAAAAACCTAGAGAAAGCTTCATTGGGAAATACACTACTCCAAGTGAACTATCAGAAAAGTACATTGTCACTTCTGTGGAATTGAAGCCTCTGTTCTTGTACAAATTCATCAAAATGGAAAAACTAACAAGGTCCATTGTTTTCACACACTCTTTAGAAAGTGCTCATAGATTGACATTACTTTTGAGAACTTTATTAGAAGACAAAGTGAAAGTTGAGGAGGTTTCTTCAAATTTGCAAGGAAAAAGTAGGAATCAACTCATCAGCAAGTTTACTGGTGGTGAAATTGACTTGTAAGTAATCCACTCCTCTTGAGGTTCTTATGAGCTTGTATCTTTTCTTGTTAATACTGTGTTTATCAGTTCTTGGGAACAGTATTTGCATACTATATAATTTTTTTCTCCAAAGAAACAATATATCCTCTCTCACAAAATCTCATATTTTTATTGACTTGGTACTTGATTCATTGTAACAGATTTAATAAAAAAAGGAAAAAGATTTTTCAGAAAATGTACTAGTAGTGTCCTATCTGGCTCTACTTTGCAAAAGTCAAAATATCCCCAGAAAACTAGTAATCTACACAGTCCCACAGTTAAACTTTTTTTTATAGATTGGTTTGTACTGATTCTCTGGCAAGAGGAATTGATCTACCAAATGTACAGTGTGTTATTTCATACTCTGCACCAAAACACCTCAAAACGTACATCCACAGGGCTGGTAGGACAGCTAGGGCTGGAGAGCAGGGCTTAGCAGTTACTCTGTTGAACAAAACCCAGCTCTCCAAATTCAAGGGATTGCTTGAGCAAGCAAATAAAACCAATGTTGAAGAAGTGAGTAGTATATAGGTACACAACTTTTCACTCAGAGCATGTTTTTAATGGCAATTTTTCTTTAGCTGATTATTCCTGAAGATGATTTGGAACCACTGGAAGAAAAATACAGAGGCTCCTTGGTGGAGCTCAAGAAGATTGTTGAAAAAGAAGAAAAGTTGAATTTGGAAAGAACCCTTGTTGCTAAAGGAAACAAAAAAACCAGGAAGAAGAGAAAGAGGCAAGATTCTGTTGGCACTGGCAGTAATACATGAAAATTTGTGAATAAAAATCTTAAAAAAATCTGCTTTTTTTCAAATGGAACTATTTTATCATAGAATGAGAGAATAGCATCTTTGAATATATACCTACTCCAAAAAGGTGTTTGAAATAATGAAAGAATCTTGATGCAGGATATCATGGTCCAAAAAGTTACTGTTTTCTTTTAACTCATTTCCAAAAATGAATAATAATGAGGACCATCATGTATATGATGAACTTTCAGCAGAGATAATTATTTTTGAATAATCAGAACTGAAGAGGTGCCTAATCTGCTCTATAAAACTTCTTCAAGCAAAAATAATGTTGACATGCTATTTTTGATTCTGGGTCCCTTACCCGTATTATGATATTCAGCAGGCGAAAGCTACTACTGCTAAATCTCAGTCTTTCAGTAGCAATAAATGTTATCTGGATCAAATGAATTATTATATAGGTTTGCAGTTCTATACAAACCATCAAGGAGTGAAGACGTATATTGCTTCTTGATTAAATAGTACTAGCGCAAGTGTAGTGGCGAAATGGGTTCTGAAAGCGATGGTAGCTACAGCGAGATGGAGATAGAGGATGGTGGCCATTGGAAGAAAGTGAGACATAAACGGAAACCTAGGCATAGTCTCGAAAATATCTCAAAAAAATCCACTCCAAATTATTCACAAGATGAAATCAGAAACATCATATTGGGCTCTGGCCCCAGTACTATAACAACATCAAACATACAACAAAAAACAGTTACTGAAAGAAATCTGCTATCTGAAGCAAGTCCGCAAAAACAACTCACGAAAAACATACACAAAAACTACTCTGTTAAAATGCATGAAATTGCTAAAAAGGAATATAAATTCCTTTACTACATAAACTGCTCGTCAAAAAGCATGACCAGGATTAAACTTGCAAACATCTGGGAAAAAGAACAACCACACACAACTGACGTAATTGTCCAAACCAAAAAAGGATTCTTACTGAAAACCAACACCTCAAAGATGATTATAACTAACCACTTGGATATTCTGAAACAACAACTTGTAATAGAAAATTACACCGAAACACAAAACAAAGTTCACAATACCAGATCCCCTCAGAAAGCACCTGAATCATTTTCAGCAGTCATCAAAAATGTTGAACAAGAAATCGAAGATTCAGAAATCAGTGAGCACCTGTCAAAATTAAAACTGGAACACAGATACTGCAAACGCATAATTTCGAGAGCAACTGGACAACCTACTTCATTTATCAGAATTATCACCTCTAACATCCAAGTATATGAAAAACTGTTGAATGAAGGCCTGTACTTCAAAAAACAGCATTACCTCATTTACGTCAGCAGCCCTCCTCTTCCGACGCCGGTTCCCTGTAGCCGTTGCCTACAATTTACCCATGAGACCGAAAACTGCAATACCCAATTGAAGTGTAACAAATGCGAGGGAAACCACGCTACTACAAAATGTTCTACGAACCTCCCAGCCAAATGCATTGCATGTGGAGCTCTCGACCACCAAGCTTGGGCATTCAAATGTCCCAAACGTCCCACCCAACCAATTGAAGGAATCCCCAACGCTCCTATCAAACCGCTGAACAAGCCATCGAGGGATATAGATCAAGAACGCAAAAAAGGCACAAAAATACACACAACCATCACTATCCACGATCACATAGTAAATACTTACATCCGTAAACTAAACAAACCTGAAAACATAAATAGACAAGAGCTACTCCAGAAACTCAACCGCAGATTCAGAAACGAATTCAATATTGACACTCAAGCAACTTTCCCGGGTGGCAACAAGGCATTCATATTCATGTTCGACCTGGATACTCCAAACTCCACATCTCCAACTGAACCCACACAAGGCTCGATAACATCAGTTAACATTCATGCTCCTTAACTTATTGTATGCAAACATAAACAGCTATACACCAAAAAGGCACCTTATAAACAACTTCATAGAAAACAACGAAATAAATTGTACCCTTTTTGTTGAAACTAAAACCAAAGAAACCAGCAATACTCAATATAGGAACTGGAACATTATCCAAAAAAATGGACATATAGTTGATAATGTCAGGGGAGGAAGTTTAGTTCAGGTTTGCCCTACTCTGAAAATGAAAAAAGAAAATGCCCCAAGAATTAACAATCCACTAAGTGAGGCTCTCCATTTCTCTATACCCTTCAGAGAAGATAAATTACACATCTTTCTGATATATATGTACATCATACTTCAGTAGAAATTGAAAATACCATATTCAACAAAGCTGCAATTTATAAATACTCCTTAATCATAGGCGATTTCAATGTTGACAGAACGAGAAAAAGACAAATTAAAAATTTCATTGAAAATTCAAATTTCAAAAAAGCGGAGACACCTCCCACCTTTTTAATGCAAAATAACCCAGACAGCACCCCAGATTTGATATTATTTACGAGCAATTTGGAGAACAGTATTGTGATTGTGGAGACTCTGGCAGACCTTGGCTCAGACCATCTAGCATTTCAGATATCGATTGAACTAAACAGACAGTGTCCTGCAGTAAATGAGTACAAATTAAATTTCAACAAATGTGACATCGAAAAAGTTAACGAAGACATGGCGAGATTTACGAGCATCCCACAAGAAATGAGTAATGAGATGATACAAGAATTCAACAAAAACTTGGAAGAATCTGTCAAAAAACACTCACCTAAAGTGGATATTAAGTTCTATCTACACGAGTTACCTCCCTTTATAATAAGTTTGATAAAAAACAAGCGCAGAATGTATCGAGAATATAAAGTATCACATGACCCTGCTATTAAACAACAAATCAACTTATACAATAAAGATATACATAAGCTTATTAAACAGTATAGAGAAAACAAATGGTTGGAAACATGTCAAGAAATTAACCAACAACAAGGAAGAAACTACTGGAACCAAATAAAAAAATGTTCCCGATATAAACCTCGTTATATAATCCCAACAATAGAAGAAAACGGTCAAGTATACAACTCGGACGAGGATAAATCAAACATCTTCGCTCAAGTATTTGAAGAAAATTTCACCGCAGCTGATAATCCCAACTTCGACCAGGAAAATTCAGATTTAGTCAACAGGTGGTACGAAGATTTCTTTGGTAGGGACATAGAGCTCCATGAATTCGAAACAAACGAAGAAGAATATTTCACTATCTTACACAACCAAAGAAATTCAGCTCCTGGCAGCGATAACATACCCTGGTCAATTCTGAAAAAACTCGATTACAATATTCATCTCTATATAATGAAAATTTATAACTTCTGCATCAAAAACCAATATTTTCCGGACATCTGGAGGAGAGGAACGATCGTGGTAATTCCTAAACCCAATGCAGACCATTCCAGAGCAAACAACTACCGACCAATCACTCTGCTTCCGGTTCTGGGAAAGCTCCTGGAAAAATTGATTAAAAACAAACTTTCGGAATTAGTGAGACAAAAAATTCCACCATGTCAATTCGGATTCAAAGAAAACTGTTCCACACTCCATCCATTAGTTATTCTGGCATCCAATGTACAAACAGCTAGAATCAACAACCAATGCTCTAGTGCGGTATTTCTAGACATTAAAAAAGCTTTTGATAGTGTCTGGCATAAAGGCTTACTATTCAAACTCCACATGCTAGAACTTCCTTCCTGGATGATACATATAGTGAATAGTTTCCTCTCATCAAGAAAACTCTCAGTGAAAATTAACAATGCTTTCTCCAACGAATTTTTTGCCACACAAGGTGTACCCCAGGGTTCGCCTTTGTCACCTTTGCTGTATAATGTATACTGTGCTGATTTAGAAGAAATACAGCAGGTTGTAAATCAACAGACATACATTTTACAATATGCAGATGACACAGCATTAATATCACACCAGAGAACCAAAACAGCCGCCATTCAACAACTCCAACAATTAACAAACCAAATCCATACTTGGTTCAACAAATGGAGACTTCAAATCAACCCTCTGAAAACGGAAATGATAATTTTCAATCATACCCCATCCATCAACTCTCCCACTATCACTATCAACAATCACCAAATACATCCACGCTCCACTGTAAAATATTTGGGGGTCCATCTTGACCACAAGCTGAATTTCAATCACCACACAGCAATTGCAAAAAATAAAGTTAAGGGAAGAGCAAAGCATTTCAAATCTTTAACATATAGAGACCATGGCATCAACATCAGCACCGCTAGTAAAATCTACAAATCAATTTGCAGACCAATATTAGAATATGGCCACCCTCTATTCCTGAACATAAGAAATCCCGCAATGAAGAACCTGCAAATCGCCGAGACCTCCGCACTACGAACCATCACTAGAATGCGTCATCCAGACAATGTGCTACACAACCCACCCAATGATCTGCTATATTCCACGACCAAGGTGCAAAGGTTACAGGAAAGACTGCCAACACTGTCTAAGAAATTTGCCTCCAAGCCTGAGAACATGAATCTGATAACTCCACTGATTCTAGAAAGGACCAATGCTAGACCAAGAAACAAATTTCCAGAAAAGTCGCTGATAACACTACTTCAGGATCTAACCGAAATTCCATAATATTTTTTTTTATTTAATGTAAAATATTCTTGTTTTTTTTTTTTTTTTTTTTTTTCAACAAAAACTGTCTTCACTCTTTAACCAACTCAAAAGGAAAAACATTTCAAGAAGAAGAAATAAAACACATTGGCTGAAGGACTCAGGTCGATGGCCAGTTGATTGTATTGTACATATGATCAATAAAGCACTTTATTATTATTATTATAGGTTTGTACACTACCGAATTAGAAGTAAATAGTTGAGGAAGGGTACAGAAATTCGAATTGACCGCTATAGCTAGGTACAAGAAGATTCTGGTACCCCCCATAGCTAGAATCGTTCTGATTGGTCTGCTCTGCCAGTTGGCTGATTTGAGGTTATGTCATGTGATTGTCATTTGAAAAGTGGATCAACAACAATAAATAATTTTGTATTTTCTGTTAATACTTAATATAAATATGGAGACAATGAATGATGATAAACCTCGTGTAATATTAGAGGAATACAAAGTTGTCCAGGTATGCATTCTGGACAGATCCCCACAACTCCTAGGAATCTCAACATCTAAATTTGACAGTATATATTATGTTTTAGAACTTACCTCGTGGGTCAACCGTTTTTACGGAACAATTCAACAGCAAAAACTTCAAAAAGAACTTCAGGATAGTGATAATTCGAAAGGAAAACTATGAAATGGAATTTGATATGATAGGAATACACCCCTTCCTAGCCAACACCTTCAGAAGACTTATGTTGAGTGATGTTCCTACTATGGCAATTGAGAAAGTTCATATTCACAATAATACTTCTATAATTCAAGATGAGGTGTTAGCCCATAGATTGGGGTTGATACCCCTGAGAGCTGATCCTAGGTTATTTGAATTCAAGACAAGCAGTAAGTCATTATTGGGTTACTCTTATCAAGTGTTGAGTGGAATAATTAAAAGCCTTGCTCACTTTTAGGCAATGAGGCAAATACAGAGCATAACTCACTGGAATTTGAATTGAAAATAAAATGTAGTGTCAACAAGGAAGCCAACAAGAAAGATTCCTCTAGAGTAGAAGATATGTATAAAAATAATAATGGTAGGTATGCCTTCATTACTCTGAAATGATGTATATTATTATGTTGGAAATTACTTTTTATATTACAATTTTCTTCAGTTTATTCCAAACATATTAAATGGTTACCAACAGCATCTCAAAAAGAAAATCTGCAAGACTCAAATGTTGGGCCAATAGATCCTGATATATTGATTGCAAAAATGAGACCTGGGCATGAAATGGATATGAAACTTTTTGCAGTTAAGGGCTGTGGACGAGACCATGCAAAATTCTCCCCAGTAGGTGGGTTTTGAAAAATTTCAGTCAGTTTCAAAAGGTTTTTTCTGTTTTTTTTTTGTAAGAGTAATTAAGCTTTTGATTTATTCTAGCTACTGCCTTCTACAGACTTCTTCCTGACATAAAAATCATAAAAGAAGTGGAAGGAGAGGCTGCCTATAGACTCCAAAAATGTTTTTCTCCTGGAGTTATAACTATCAGAAATGAACCAAGTGGTAAAAAAATTGCTGTAGTCAATGATGCACGGTATGACACCAGCAGTAGAAATGTTTTCAGATATGATGACCTCAAAAATTGTGTTGTGATGAGCAAAATTCAAGATCATTTCATATGTGGGTATATTATGATTGTTTCTCATAAATGTGTGATTACATTCAAATGATTTCTTCTAGTTACAATTGAATCAGTTGGAGCTCTACAACCAGATGTAATTTTCAAGGAAGCAGTGAGGATTCTTAGAGATAAATGCACTTCTCTACTAGATGAACTTAATTTGTCCTGAATGATCAGAAATACAATGTTTATATTTTGGAGGCCAATTTTAATGTCAAATATTATTTTTCAGTTTCTTTGATAGGTACTGTTTTACTGGAAATATTAAATGAGATCAAAGAACACACCTAATAGCCAAAACTAATTGACAGAGTTTTCAATAAATCTCTGAATACCTATGAATTAAATAATTCAATGAATATATTATGCATTCTATTTGAGATGTCCAATTGACTGGATATTAATAATGAGGTGTTTTGAAGAGTACCTATCTCTAGTGATATGATAACCAGGAAATTTTTAAACAAACAATCAGCACTTACCTAAAAGATTTATATATCACAATAAAACTAACAAGACACTTTCCTACTAGTTCAAAATTCATATAATTATCTGTTTATTTTGAATCAAATCCTGAGCCGCCACTTTCCGCTGTCCTGTCAGAATACCAATGTAGCCTGAACTCTGAACTAAATCATCGAGTTTTCACAACTTCACTCATCCTTACGAATGCATTTTCTGATTCATGAAATGATAGGAGATGAAACGAATATGATTCCATTTCTACATCCGCACAACTGTTAAAATATGAAATTAGCATCCTACGTCGCAAGGATTTGGGGCTACTCAAACTCAGAAATATATGAAAAAAATAGCAGCTTACTGATTCAATTTTCGACTATGTCTTTTACCCTTCAGCGGTCATATTACCCGAACAAGAAGTAATCTTGTGAAAATATGCCAAACTCCCAAACAGGAATTTAATGATCAAAGGTGAGGTCAAAGATTAGATAGAAAAATAGTTGGCAACACTTTTGTGCTTGACAAGTGTCATTCTTCACATTCTTGTCATAGTGGTCATTCTTTTCATTTCCAATTTTTTAATCGATTTTAGCTTTGCAGCACAGGGTATTTCCACCAAATAAAAATCAATTTCAAAATGAACAATTCCAAGGTGGGTTTAGCAAATAATATTACAAGTCACTTTATTTTAAAATATTTGGTCGATATCGGTTTTCTTATCCGAATTTTAATCGGGATTACAGACGATATAACTTCAACATTTACGTAATACCCAATTTTTTTCTCAATTTCAGCTTTTACTTCTTGCCAGGGCTTGCCAAAGGCAAATCACAAGGAATGTTGCCACCACTGAAGTCAGTGGGCCCAGGGTAGAACGACTGAAAAATCTGCAGAAAAAAATGCAGGTTTGTATTCCCCAATTTTTATTTAAATGAGGTGCACTTGAAACGGGTGTGCCGTGTGGTCATTATGTACCTGTTCATTCAAGTTTCTATCATTTCAAACCATTACAGGGTAACTGATTCGTTCATATTTTTCTACATTCCAATCTGTATATATTTTATTCAAAATGAACTAGAATTAATTCCTTATTGTTGTAGGTAGCTAGGTAAGATTTATTATTTATTCAATCAATCTTATTTTCAGATTGATGATGGCGAATTAGTTCACCTCAAGAATGGTTTTGGAGACAAAGCTCTATATCAATTCACCCTTCTCTTGACCCTCATTGGACTGGGTTTAAGTGCTGATACCCTTATTAAACTCACCTTGGGCAAAAAATAAACAATTCATGAAATATTGTGTAGTGGTTACTATCAGACTAGAATTTGGAATTAAGTATACTTAGTTTATAATTTGAAATAAAATGTTGCTTTGTTAGATTGTTTCTTTTTGATTGTATGGCTGGAAACTTGATTTTAGATGTACCTACCTATCTGACAATGTATTTATTTCAATATAACAAAGTATATTAATTATAAAATTGCAAGTCAATTGAGATTTTGAGATTGAATTAGAAGTTTGCCCTTTGTTTTTCACATAGATTGACCAATGGTTGACCAATTTACCAAATACCTATGATGAATTGAAAATAATCATCTACCTTCCTAACTCTGTATGCCCGATTTGACATTATTGTTGAGAATTTTTTGACATTTTGATCAGGAGCATGGGAAACAGGCGGGGGCCAAGGGCACTTTTCTTCCCAATTTTTTGTGTATTCAATTTTCGGCAGTTTGACCAGGAAATATGGAAATTCCAACATTTTTACTCAGTTTATAAATTATATAAAATAGTTCTTCCTCAATTTTCCAAAAATTATGGTGTGATGGAAAGTACCCCTTCTTTTAACATCTACTTTTGATGTATATAGGTATGATTTAAAATATGACGGGTGCAATAAGAATGATATGATAGAGGTACCCTTTATTAAGAAAAAGTACATATACAGGGTTTTTTTGACATTAGAAATCATAATTTTGTATTAATTTTCATGTAACATCTAGAAGGCGCTGCGTTATGCTGCCATTATTAGTTTCAAATTGACCTTACATTTTTGACAGTAAACTTTTGGTACTTTTCATGGAAAAACCTTATCCTCACATCTATTCCTAGTAAAAAAGCTACACTTCCCCAAGCATTTTATACTCGTAATGAACTATTTATTGTCCGGATTTGAAAAAAAATCTCAATTGGTGACAGTTTTGAAGGGGAATAGATCGAGTGAGTGTTTTTCTCCTCAACTTCTAGGCCACTGGAAAAAGTGCAGTTTTAAGCGCCAATGTTTTCTACAAAAAAAATGTACTCTTGGTCATCATAAGCTCTGAAGCTGACCGTTCTTGAAAATGTATTACTTTTATGTTGAAAACGTAGTCAATTTTATTGAAACATTTTTTCATTACTAATAAAACGAAAGTTATTCCACAGATAGAACAAGTTTCGCTTGTACATAAAAGCTGTTTTCTGTGCGATAAACGGTTCCAGAGAAATATTCACAAAAATAATTATTTATTATACAAGGGAAAAAAGTCTTAGATTTTAGCTCGTGGTTGTGTTGTCTCCTGATGCGGTGCGGAGGGATACAAAAATCAGTTCAGATGCAAGTTGAAAATCACTGTATCATTGAAGATGCTCCTATACTTGGTCATTGGTCTCTTTCTTGCTCCTGAAAATTTCAGACATCTACATCAATAATTACGTAAGCAGATAATGGGAAGCTTTCATGAAAAGTGAGACAGAATTAAATATTTACAGAACTGAAAATTTTTCAGTAGGAAAATGAGTAGGTACTTTTAGTCTGCTGATATGATTTTCCGGACATGTAGGTGGTTCCATGAATGCTAGCGAGCAGTGTATATCACTGATGTGTAATTTCAATTGGTCATTTTGACTGTATCTTCGGAATATTTCTTCGTCCTGGAACAATCCTAACTCGTTAATTACGTATAAGATACGGGTGTTTCCATGAAAGGTGAGACAATGATGAAAATTTCAGAACTGACATTTTTTTCAGGAAAGATATGAACAGTATGTGAATTGGGCGTCCTGATTCCCAATCCGAAGTGATTTTCAACTTATTTTGCCTCCGAATATATATTATTTTCCGGATATTGATGGGGTGAAGATGACACTAAAAGTGAGACACACTGTACATATAGAAGCACCAATAAAATGATTTTTTTGGATTTCTCGAAAATCGAGAAAAAAAAATCTGCTATTAGGAATAAGACGACATAATTGATTTATTTTTCTGAAAATGAAATTATTCTGCATCGCCTTTCACAACTCGAAGGTGCATCGGTAGATTGATTTCATTCAACCTATTTTGACTATCTTCAATTATTCATTGCTCGTTGTTCTGGTACCCCGTGTATAAATATAAAGATATACTCTATATATACGCAATTGAGGATATCTCTTTTTGGTCGTAAAATGTAGATACAGAACATTGTATTGTGGGAATATTTGTCGCCAAATGTTTAGATTCAATTACAATTTCCAACCGCATATTATTATACGCAATGTATATATACGTTTTCAGTTTTCCCTCTGAACGGAAAACTGCCCGAGGAAAATCAAATTAATTTCGTGAGCTCTTCCACTGCTCGTCTCATCCTTCATATAAATTTATATGCACCACACATATATATTTTTAAAACTGTGTTTCTGGGCCATGGACGATATTTTATGCTGAGACGTTTCCACTTTTGTTTTGTACAATTATGAGTATTGTTAAAACAAATTCACAATATATTCAACTTCCACGAAAGTAATTATTGAGCTTACCCGTTTATGCACTTCAGGGAATAAAAGGGTTCTTTAATTCCCATGCATATTCATTTTTGAGGGACTGAAGTGAGAATTTTACTTAGTATATACTGGCAGATTTTTTCAAACGCACTAGCAACGCTCTCAGGCACATGAATTTTCGATGTCTTTCATTATTTTTTTGATTATTTTATTTGTCGTTCTCCACTCTTGGTGCATTGAATAGTATATATATACTGGGTGTATCTGAATAACACCGAATAAATTCGAGAGGTGATTCCTCGTGATATTTTAGGAACAGAAGTTCATATAAACATGTGTCCTAACTTGCTTCGTTTTCGAGATACAGGATGTTGAAGTTGGAAGTATTAATTTTTTTCATTCATAAATCCCCTGTATGAGACTCATGGTGCCAAAATTCAGTATGGATGGAGACTGAGTTTATACAGTGTGACCCATTTAAGATGGAAGCACCCTTATAAAACTTACATTTTTCAACCGATTGGAATGATTTTTTTTTGTTAGGTAGATATTCAAAAAGTCTATTAGGACACCAAATATCATGAATAAATCTCCATTTCCAGGGCCAACTAATCTGATTTTTCAAGGTCAAAAATCTAAAAAAATTACTAGCGATTTTTTTAGAAAAAATCTGACTACACCACTGGATTTGTGACATTTTCAAATGGGTAACATGTAAATTACGTTGAAATGCGTCAATCAATAAAAAAGTTATAAAGGAATGAAATTTGAAAAATATGCCGTTTAATCAACCCACCAATTCATGTTCAGGAATTTTATGAAAATTCTGTATACTCCACTGGATTCAGGATGTCTTGAAATATTACTGATCACAGTTTCATCGAAATCTGTTCAGTAATAAAAATTGATGGGTTGATTAAGCGGCATATTTTTCAAATTTCATTCCTTTATAACTTTTTTATTGATTGACGCATTTCAACGTAATTTACATGTTACCCATTTGAAAATGTCACAAATCCAGTGGTGTAGTCAGATTTTTTCTAAAAAAATCGCTAGTAATTTTTTTAGATTTTTGACCTTGAAAAATCAGATTAGTTGGCCCTGGAAATGGAGATTTATTCATGATATTTGGTGTCCTAATAGACTTTTTGAATATCTACCTAACAAAAAAAAAATCATTCCAATCGGTTGAAAAATGTAAGTTTTATAAGGGTGCTTCCATCTTAAATGGGTCACACTGTATATGAACTTTATTTGCTAGAATGTCACAAGGAAACGACCTTTGAATTTTTTCGGTGTTATTTAGATACACCCTGTATAAACCACGATACTATATAGTTCTTTTTAATCCTTCATAGCGAAAAGCAAGAACTTTGCGCATCAGGAAGTATCACTTTAGTCTTCAGGTTTATATATTCTACTATTATGAACATTCCTCATACTAGCCCTGTCTATAGAAAAAATATATCTACGCGCCTGGCTGATAGTTGTGCGTTGTTTGATGATATTATTATTATTATTTCATTACGAAAAGTACGCAAATAGCAACTGTTGGGTGTTGTGACTTCATCTGTTGTTTATAGTTCGAAACATCATTCAAAGTGAAATGGAATCCAAATCCTGAAATTCATTGCCAAAATTATTTAGCTATAGATCACTTTCCTCAGTACGTGATTTATTTTTGAAAACATGTAGGTAGATATACAGGGTCCTTCAACGAAAACTTGACCCCCCTAAAACTTTCCTTGATATCAAATGTCATTCACAAATTCTAATTCCAAAACTATGGCATTAGATTGCTGGAAGATCTTCTGCAAGATCACCTCACCAAGCCCTTTAGATGATTTCCTGTGGGGCCATTTAAAATCATGAGTAAATTGCTCATGGCGGTGGATCTATGAGTTTTGAGGCCATAAGCTTGATAATTCTTGGGGCCCCTGCTGCCCCTTTTCTCATTTCTCCTGCTTTGCTTTCTGTTCACCAATTTTCGATAAACAATACAACATACAATCTGAAACTGAACCTTCATTGATGAAAATATTCTGGACAGGAACAAAACAAAAAGCAAAAAATATCCCAGTTGACCACAACATGCAGCAGCTTTATCACTGCTGTATTTCAAATGTTCCATGTTTCATTACAGAGTTGTTCCCAGAGATATAGCATAGATGAATGTCTGCCTCAAATGAAATCACCGACTTATATCAGTGATGCATCACCCAGTCAACACAGGATATCTTATGGATATCCATTTCAAGTCCTAACCAATGCGGGATATCCGTAGACATAAAATGTATATCCATAAGTTATCCGATTGTGGATGTTCTCCAGATATCCGAAACAAACGTCCTGAATACGTCCACAGGATATCCATAAGATACAGAGACAAAAGATCAATACCTAGAAATTTAAAAAATCAATGATTGAAATGATAAATAAATAGAAGGAGATCCACAAAAGTAACACTTGTGCGTGGGTCTTCCAGAAGATAAGATTATTATTAATTCGGTTTTCGAAAATAGTGCGAGGTGGCGTAACGTCTCAAATAGTCCAAAATTGGTAGC